ATAGCATGTTGTCCAAAATCATGGAAAAAAAGTCATAGTATAGCATGTCGTCCAAAATCATGGAAAAAAAGTCATAGTATAGCATGTTGTTCAAAATCATGGAAAAAAAGTCATAGTATAGTATGTTGTCCAAAACCATGAAAAAAAAGTCATAGTATAGCATGTCGTCCAAAACCATGGAAAAAAAGTCATAGTATAGCATGTTGTCCAAAACCATGGAAAAAAGTCATAGTATAGCATGTTGTCCAAAATCATGGAAAAAAAGTCATAGTATAGCATGTCGTCCAAAATCATGGAAAAAAAGTCATAGTATAGCATGTTGTTCAAAATCATGGAAAAAAAGTCATAGTATAGTATGTTGTCCAAAACCATGAAAAAAAAGTCATAGTATAGCATGTCGTCCAAAACCATGGAAAAAAAGTCATAGTATAGTATGTTGTCCAAAATCATGAAAAAAAGTCATAGTATAGTATGTCGTCCAAAACCATGAAAAAAAAGTCATAGTATAGCATGTCGTCCAAAATCATGAAAAAAAAGTCATAGTATAGTATGTCGTCCAAAATCATGAAAAAAAGTCATAGTATAGCATGTAATACACTTTCATTAAAAAAAAATTTAATTGCATGCCTGCATCTGTAAAACATTCTGTATCATGACATTTTCTGACTGTTCTGACGGATTCCTGCATATACCTTGGTTTTTTATACTTTTCATTTGAGTCCTCCTCAGAGGAGACAGAAAACCATCAACTGTCATATGAAATTAATCTAACAAGAAAGAATTAGGAAGAATAAATAAAAAGGAAAAGATCATAGTTTAGTTGTCATAGAAATGTTTATTTACTTACCCCCATTAATGATCTGAGGATCACACTGGCTGTTTAAGTCAACTGATTTCTGAGTTTGAAACAGTCCCTTTACCCAAAAATACAGAATGAAACCAGTAAATCTACAAATGCTACATTTTTTTGTATAACTGATGACAAATTGTTATTACAGTGTGTCACGATATCCAGTTGTCAAAAGTACTTGCAGTTGCATTTTACAGCAGCAGGTGGCAGCATTGATCTGGTCATTGCATTTTATTCCATTGGTCAAATGTTTGCTTTCATTATGAAAGAGTTTGTCCACCCACATTACAAATATACAGGTCCTAATTTATTTCTGCTTGTATCTATCCATGCAGATAGTTGTGGTTTCAGTTGTCCAATTTGAGATGTTTGTCTTTGAGATTTATGCTTCCATTTCTCAAAACCAGAGCAAATAAAACCCAAATTATGTGCACAACAAGATACAAGAGATAAGTGAAATATGTCATCTGCACTTTGTCTGTGAAGATTCTCAGTCGTCCAGAACATGGTAATCTTAAGTGCTACATCTTTGGCAACTGGACTTGCTTGAGTTTCTTGGAGACATTTTGCTTCTCATCCAAGAAGCTTCTTCAGTTCTAACGGACTGGTGCAGACTTGCAGGCTTTAAACTCTGTGTGGGTTTGAACCCTTACGGAGTCGTTGAGGTCACACATGAGTCAAGTGAAACTTTGGTGAAACAAAACAACCACTCCAGAAGCACATGGCACAGCACAGGAGAGCCAGTTCATCAGGTCAAGACTCAGCTGTCCATTTACATCTTAAGAAGAAGGGACACTGCTTCGAGGACAGCAATGTGCGCATCTTGGCCAGAGAAGAAAAATGGTTTGAAAGAGATGGGGAAAAAGCCATCATCAATTAAAATGATCTCTCATTTCTTTAGTTTGTGAACATCAACAGTAACTCAGAGTGAGATTCAGATTCTATTACAATATTAATAGTTCTAGTAACTAAATAAAATCTACCACAAATTACACATTTAAACAGCTCCCAAATACAAAAACTGTCCCCTGGGATCTATATATATAAATCAACAGGTGAATGACTGAGTTGTGTTTTTCCCACCTGGACCTTTATGCTCTGCCATTTCTCCTCAAATCATCACACTGTAACCTGTGACAGGCTGTTATGATACCACAACTATCACACATTCACATATGTGGAGTTTTTGTCGAGAGAGAGGCTGTGCTGCTGCCAGAGGAGCCGCTGAATGAGTTCCCTCTGAGCGGTAAGTCACTAAAAGAGTCTGAGAAGTCCGGGGCTGTTCATAAAACATTCAGGACGCCACAGTTTATTCCACACTGCTGAAGCTGCTCCTCTTTTTGGAACCACCGCAGAGTCTGTAATAATTTCACTTTCAGCCATGCTTGTTGTTGCCGTGGGTAACAGTATGACGTCAATATATCAACAACCTGAAATACTGCGAGGATCACAATATGAACGAGATCGTGAACGAGATGATGGGGCACACCCCTGCTTAACATCCATTCTCACCTGGACCCTAACCCTACTGACACACAAGATGGCCAGGTGGGTCAACGACTCACATGTGACCTCAAAGACTCTGTAAGGTCCGTCAGAACTGAAGAAGAGATGAAACGTCTTCAGGAAACTCAAGCAAGAACAGTTGAGTCTACGATACAGCACATATGGTCCTCTGCACTTTGGACTGAACCAACCCTTCAAACATCATAATGTACTTTAGAGTTTTATCTAGTCTTCTCTGGATTTGTCGCCTCTTCTCTGCCGATACAATACCTCTAGATTTTGTATCATTGTACACCTTAAGTCAAGACATCAAGTTCAGGCCCAAAGGGCATCAAAACCAGGCCAAGAATAAAGACAAAAAATTCGAAGAGCAAAAACAGACAACAAACTGTCCTCCTTTGATTCCAGAAAATAAATTCCCCAAGAGATGACCAGAGATGTAGATCAGGAGCCAAAGCCTTTGTCACCCAAATACCCAGGGCATGCTTGTTTAGGGACTGTTACACAGGGGCTTCTACCACACAGGTATGATCCCCTCAGGTGTTTAAAGTGTCAGTGGAAAAAAGACAAACACCCATAATGTGGATCAGGTTTAAAAGAACTTCTCTGGAGCCCCACATCACTGCTTCCTTCATACTCTCTTCCTTGATTTCACCAGCCGTCTGGCTTTGGGCTCCACTCTGTCCAGACTCTGGTTGCTGTTCTGGCCATCCCTCTCCTTCTCCAGCAGAGGCACACAGGTGCATCCCACAGCGATGGAGACGTACACCTCGGTGTAGGAGAAGCGGCCGCCGGCGCAGGAGCCTGCTCTCTTCAGGATGACAGAGGGAGCGTAGACCGGGGTGCTGCGGTACTGGTTGCTCTCTGCACCGTATTGGCCGATGAGGCAGCCTTTACACAGGCAGTACGCCTCAGGGATGTAGCGAGGGTACCTGGAGGGGTCGTAGGAGATCCTGAAAGAATGAAATCATCAGAATCAGTTTCTGAGCACATGAACATGAAATATTTCTGCAAACTTTCTGCAAGAAAATATGACTGTGTTGGTAGATTTTCATCCTGAGTTGTTTTTCTTAAATTAAGATAATTAGATGACTGACATGAATTTTGCCCTTTTGTTCTGCTGCTGCACAAAGTCAATCTTCTCTTTTGGATCTGAAGCGGGATTAATGACGAGGACTTGAGGCCAGGAGAGATAAAATGAAGGCCACACACTTTTTCCCTGTATGTTAAAATCATTTATTTCTAGTGCACTTCATATTTTGAATATAATAAGGAAATCAAAAATAGCTTCTGTAGCTATAATGTGCTTGTTTTAAAGAGCAAAACATAATTTGGCGAAACTTACAGCCACATTTTAACATAATTTCTTTTAAAACATAATTTTTGAAACAAACTCTCAGTTTTCCAGGTGCAGCTGTGGGTTTATGACAATTTATATTCAAAAGGTCGGTCATTCATAAAACTGAATCTTACTATGCAAAGAAGCTGAAACTTTTACAATAGCTTTGAGTTAAGACTGATTGTGCAAGAAGGTGAAGAAGAAGAGGGTGAAGACAAAAAGAGGAAGAAGACGAAAAGAAGAAGATGGTGAAGGAGGAGGAGGAGAAGGTGAAGAGGAAGACAATAAAAGTGGAAAAAGATAAAGAGCAAGACAAAAAAAATGGAAGAAGAAGGTGAAGAAGAAGAGGGTGAAGACAAAGAAGAGGAAGAAGATGAAAAGAAGAAGATGGTGAAGGAGGAGGAGAAGGTGAAGAGGAAGACAAAAAATGGAAGAAGAAGGCGAAGAAGAGGGTGAAGACAAAGAAGAGGAAGAAGACGAAAAGAAGAAGATGGTGAAGGAGGAGGAGAAGGTGAAGAGGAAGACAAAAAAAGTGGAAGAAGAAGAGGAAGGTGAAGAGGATGACAAAAAAGTGGAAGAAGAAGAAGAAGGTGAAGAATAAGACAAAAAGGGAAGAAGAAGAAGGTGAAGAGGAAGACAAAAAAAGTGGAAGAAGAAGAGGAAGGTGAAGAGGACGACAAAAAAGTGGAAGAAGAAGAAGGTGAAGAATAAGACAAAAAGGGAAGAAGAAGATGGTGAAGAGGAAGACAAAAAAGTGGAAGAAGAAGAAGAGGGTGAAGACAAAGAAGATGAAGAAGACAAAAAGAAGAAGATGGTGAAGGAGGAGGAGGAGAAGGTGAAGAAGAAGAAGAAGAAGACAAAAAAGTGGAAGAAGGTGAAGAGGAAGAGGGTGAAGACAAAGAAGAGGAAGAAGACAAAAAGAAGATGGTGAAGAAGAAGAAGAAGAAGAAGAAGAAGGTGAAGAGGAAGACAAAAAAGTGGAAGAAGAAGAAGAAGAGATACAAACTGGCAAACATTAGAGCCCCTCCTCGTATTATTATAATAAATAAATAAATAAATAATAATAAACACATTATTTCGTGTATCCACACCTGAGCAAGTTATGTTGAATGTTTGGAATATTAATAACAACATAAAATACAAATCAATTTTCAGCACTGTTTTTCAACACTGATCTTGTTTCTTCTGTTTTAATGTAAAAAGTTTTTAATGCAAATTCAATAAAGAACAGATCACAGCGCAAATGTTGCACCTGCGCTCACCTGTAGGCCCAGGGGGAGATGCTGAGCAGGTTGACCGGGAGGCGGGTCTTGGTGTCGGTCGGGGACCGAGCGGCGGTCGGGCACGTCAGGTTGAGTTTGTCCTGCGGCTCCAGCTGCAGCGCGTGGTGGAAGGCGCTCATCACTCCCACCGAGAGCCGCCCGAACATCTGCTCCAGGATCTCCTCCGGCAGGTCCAGGCACGGCCGGGTCCTGGTGGCCTTCTTCCGCACCCGGGCCGCTCCGGCCGACCCGCCCAGCAGCACCACCACAGCCAGGTGCAGCAGCAGCAGCAGGACGCGGATCCGCTGCGGCATCACTGCGCGCTCCTCGGTGCGGTGCTGTGCCAAAATGCGTATCCACGGAAAAAGGTGTCTCTGTGCGCGGTGCTGTCACCTTCACTGCCTTCCTTAAAAGATCACACGCAGATTATGAAGTGACCTCCAGTAATGACGCCAACAGGTTCCTCTGTTATAATCCAGTGTAATGTTGGAGAGTGAGCGGCAGGCGAACAGTCCACAGTCCTGGCTTGGAGACCGAGGCACAGGCGCGCCGCCAGGGAAACTGCGGAAACATTTTGGCACTCCACATCCACAGTGTCGCCAGAAGTAATAATTTCCTCACAATTAGAAATAATCACCGAGTTGGAAGCTTCACACCTGCTGCTGCTGCTGCCTTCCGTTTGAAATGCTACTGACAGTGTGTTCCTGTTGCTTCTCTGAACCGACGTGTGCGTAAAATCCGATGGAGGCGTTTGTACGCGCACGAACAGCGTGATCCACCATTCAGGACAGGTCTACTCACACTGAAGCACCGACTGATAGAACCGTCATCTGGTGATACACGAGGCCAGCAGCTCCTGACTGGAGTGGGAAGTCCTGAGTGTTGGCTGTGTGCGCGCTGCTGCTGGATCCTGGCTGCGCACCAGAGTCTGCTTCACTGAAACATAAACTGGATCCATTCTGTCTGCTCTGCTTTCACAAAGAAACTGGAACTACAAGGTCAAACCGCAAATTCATACAAATCATTCTTAAATGCTGAGGCCACGGTCCTTCCTGTCACTCAGTCTGGTGTGTACTGAAGTCATTAAGATTTATGTGAGGCACATAAAAAGCCAGTTAAAGCTCCTTCGGTGCAGTTTGACCTCCACTAAATCTGCTGCCACGTCGGGGAAAACTTAACATTAATAACTCAGATTGTGCTCTCCACACTAACGTATTCACCCCCTCTTGACGTTTTTCCTGTTTTGCTGCATTACAGCCTGAAATTTAATTCGGATTTAAGGTAATGAGCCACATAGAACAGTCAAAACTGGTGAAGTGAAATGGAAAAAGGCTGTTTAAAAGATTTAAAAGCTAACAAACTAGTGCATATGTACGTACCTTTTACTATGAAGATCCTCAGAAGTCACATCATTAGTTAAATCAAGTCCACCTCTGTGAGTCTGCAGCACCACTAAGCTTGTGGTGTCCAACCTGAGGTCTGGGGACCCCAGAGGTCCTTGAGGGAGTTCCAGGGGTCCCCAGAAAACGGGGACTAGTTTCTTTACATGATTTAATTCACTATAGAAGTGACACTAGTGTGAGTAAGTAAGGGGGCTTTTCAATATCGGTGGGCTGTTTCGGGGATTACTGGGGCCTGAAATGCCTGATTTCACAGCAGCTTCTCTAAAAAAATGTGCTGCATGTTGCCATGTTTTTATGTGTTTTTTAAATCATTATTTGCAATGAAATTGTGAGGGAAAGTGATACCACAGGGTTCGACAACCCTTACTAATAAAAGAGCCATTTTGGGCCACAAAAGGGAGAAAAGAAAATCATACCACATCATACCACAAAGCAAGCGGCTCCATAAAGACCAAAGAGCTCTCCAAACAGGTCAGGGACAAGGTCCTGGAGAAGAGCAGACCAGAGGTCTCATCTATAAACATTGTGTTTGCACAAGGCCTGAAAGAGGAGTACACCACTTCCCACACAAAAGTTATGATCTATAAAAACAGACTTGATGGGAAAAACTTTGACTTTGGCTTACGAATATTTTGGAGACAGGAAATTGGCAACTCAGACGGTGAGGTTGAAGCCTGATTGTAGAAAATGTCAAATATTTTTTGGCGCACACCATTTTGTCTTTTGTCCGTGTGTATATTTTTAGTATGAATCTTACACAGTGACTTATAAATGAGACCCCTGGGCTGGGTTCTAAAAACACATATCAAACTTTGAACATCCCATTGAGCACCATTAAATCCATTATTACAAAATGGGAAAAATATGGCAGCACAACAAACCTGCCAAGACAGGGCCACACACTGATGTTGTAATACAACATAAGAGAAATGCCAAGGGAGGTGAAAACTTTCGCAAGGCACTGTATTAAAAAACTCATATACCACCAAAGTTTGTTATCGCGCTCAGAATGAGACAGCTCAACTTTTTTCTTGAATATATAAAATATTTTCAGTTTATTTATATAATGAGAAACAAACAAAAATAAATACTATAACACAAATAAATATTTTACGAGTGAGTACAAAATGTGAAATGTGTCTAAACAGGACCTGAAGTGGACAAATTACACAACATGTTACATCATGTTGATGGGTTTTCCAGAAGGTTCCCAGGCTCACACACATGGAAACATACAGAACAGTCAAACATGTGACAACAGCGATAATGATTTTCATTGTTTTGGCTCTGAGCTCCAGACTTATGTTTTAGGGCGTTCACATCCATACTATGTGAACAGCAATAAACACCTTCACTCCTGGGAGGAACAGTGTGTCGAAAACGGTATATCACTTCTTCACATGTCATCCAATATGAATGTAAATACATTTAAATTTAAGTTAAACTTCAACCTTTTCCCCTCACTGTGATTGTTTCAGTCATTTCAAATTCATTGTGCTGGAGTACAGAGCCAAAACACAACTGTACAAATAGTTCCAGACTGATAAACATGTTTGCATTCACTCCATCTATACAGGCATTCCTCTGCTAAATGTATAATGTAAATGTATAAATACTCAGATGTAAGAATATGACCAATCAGATGGAGGTAAAAACATCTCACTCCGAGACTCAAAAGTGGAGTCACTGGTCCCTCATTGCTGCCCCTGAAAAATAAAGTCTTTATTCTGTCACATTAATGTTTTTTGCTGAAGAGCTGAGTTAAAATGTTTTGGTTTTGTGGTGAAACTTTGTGCTCTTGCCTTTGAGCATGTGACAAAAGAGCAAATGTCCTGACGATACAGTGAAGGCAGATGAGGAGGCTGCTCCTACGGCAGCAGTTCGTCTACCAGCTCTTCATCATCAAAGAGGTCATGGTCGTCGACGCGCTTCTTGGCTCCCGTCTTTGGCCTCTCCATCTGTGGGCCCAGTGGGTCCACGTAGGACGCATCTACACACGAGAGGAACAGAGGTTTTACTCCTTATTAAAGGATGTTTTGCTGCAGAGCGTCGTTCCTGTGGGCTCCAGCAACACTAAACCCCTGAGCTTGCCTGAGAAGGACTAAATCCACAAAGCTGCTATTTTTAAATATCCCATGGAGAGAGACTCTCACTGCAGCCTGTTCTATTTTGCTCTGAAATTGTCGGCGTGCAGCCTCGTTCTGTGGACGATAAACCAGGTGCAGACTGATAAAGGAGGAAATACAAGTGAGTGCTGGACGGAGCAGTGAGTGACAACAACCCTGCCCATATTTAAGAGAACTGTTTGTGGTAGAAACACTAGGGTCTAGGTACCATGTCTGAAGGGTTACTGTGGTTCAAAAGGTACCATACTACAAGTGTTCAGTGGAAACAGGGCTAATGGTGTCCACCTCAGCTGAGCTGTAAAGTTAACAGTCAACCGTTCACCGCGAAGAAGGAAGAGTGCATCTACTGCTAGCTCACCTAGCACCACTGAGCTAGCTTAAGTTACAGCTCAGCCGAGAAGGACGTCATTAATGTTTACAGTACAGGCCAAAAGTTTGGACACACCTTCTCATTCAATGCGTTTTCTTTATTTTCATGACTATTTACATTGTAGATTCTCACTGAAGGCATCAAAACTATGAATGAACACATGTGGAGTTATGTACTTAACAAAAAAAGGTGAAATAACTGAAAACATGTTTTATATTCTAGTTTCTTCAAAATAGCCACCCTTTGCTCTGATTACTGCTTTGCACACTCTTGGCATTCTCTCCATGAGCTTCAAGAGGTAGTCACCTGAAATGGTTTTCCAACAGTCTTGAAGGAGTTCCCAGAGGTGTTTAGCACTTGTTGGCCCCTTTGCCTTCACTCTGCGGTCCAGCTAACCCCAAACCATCTCGACTGGGTTCAGGTCCGGTGACTGTGGAGGCCAGGTCATCTGCCGCAGCACTCCATCACTCTCCTTCTTGGTCAAATAGCCCTTACACAGCCTGGAGGTGTGTTTGGGGTCATTGTCCTGTTGAAAAATAAATGATCGTCCAACTAAACGCAAACCGGATGGGATGGCATGTCGCTGCAGGATGCTGTGGTAGCCATGCTGGTTCAGTGTGCCTTCAATTTTGAATAAATCCCCAACAGTGTCACCAGCAAAACACCCCCACACCATCACACCTCCTCCTCCATGCTTCACAGTGGGAACCAGGCATGTGGAATCCATCCGTTCACCTTTTCTGCGTCTCACAAAGACACGGCGGTTGGAACCAAAGATCTCAAATTTGGACTCATCAGACCAAAGCACAGATTTCCACTGGTCTAATGTCCATTCCTTGTGTTTCTTGGCCCAAACAAATCTCTTCTGCTTGTTGCCTCTCCTTAGCAGTGGTTTCCTAGCAGCTATTTGACCATGAAGGCCTGATTGGCGCAGTCTCCTCTTAACAGTTGTTCTAGAGATGGGTCTGCTGCTAGAACTCTGTGTGGCATTCATCTGGTCTCTGATCTGAGCTGCTGTTAACTTGCGATTTCTGAGGCTGGTGACTCGGATGAACTTATCCTCAGAAGCAGAGGTGACTCTTGGTCTTCCTTTCCTGGGTCGGTCCTCATGTGTGCCAGTTTCATTGTAGCGCTTGATGGTTTTTGCGACTCCACTTGGGGACACATTTAAAGTTTTTGCAATTTTCCGGACTGACTGACCTTCATTTCTTAAAGTAATGATGGCCACTTGTTTTTCTTTAGTTAGCTGATTGGTTCTTGCCATAATATGAATTTTAACAGTTGTCCAATAGGGCTGTCGGCTGTGTATTAACCTGACTTCTGCACAACACAACTGATGGTCCCAACCCCATTGATAAAGCAAGAAATTCCACTAATTAACCCTGATAAGGCACACCTGTGAAGTGGAAACCATTTCAGGTGACTACCTCTTGAAGCTCATGGAGAGAATGCCAAGAGTGTGCAAAGCAGTAATCAGAGCAAAGGGTGGCTATTTTGAAGAAACTAGAATATAAAACATGTTTTCAGTTATTTCACCTTTTTTTGTTAAGTACATAACTCCACATGTGTTCATTCATAGTTTTGATGCCTTCAGTGAGAATCTACAATGTAAATAGTCATGAAAATAAAGAAAACACATTGAATGAGAAGGTGTGTCCAAACTTTTGGCCTGTACTGTACATCTTATGCTCTCTCTTGTCCTCTCGTCCATGAGCAGATGCATGTTTTCTTCTGCACGGTGATACGGTTAATGGTTGTAGTTTGGTAGAGAGAAAATAGTTCCTACATGAAACTGCTCACAACAAGGTCTGTGGGGGTCAAAAACAAGGTCTCCAAAACAATCTAGACTGATAACTACAGGTAATCTGTCTACGAAGAATTGGCAGCAAGAGATGCAGACACTGCATGAAAACCATTTTGGCTCTGCGGTTATTAAGTATTCAAATACATGAGACTAGTAGCTGAAGCGTCAGTGAGCTTCAAAGGTTATTACTAAGAGAGTGGAAAAGAGAGTGAGTCAAAAAACTTGGGTTTCCTCACCTATTTCTTTTGGGCTGCTGGCCTCATAGGGCTCATTGGAACCAGGAAGTGACCTCATCTTGGCGCTCAGCCGCTCTCCTTTAGTGCTGCTGCTGCTGTGGCCGCTGTCTACGCAAAACACACATGCAGAAACAAACACTCACAACAACTGATTGTGATTATGACTGATGCTTTAAAAAGGTCATTACTGGGTATGTTTGCCAACTCTGACAGTTATAGGGTGTTTAAACGTCCCTCAAATCTGGAGCAGTTTCTGTTTTGGTTGAGTGGAGTGAGACCTCATCAGGGTGTTTGTGCATATGAGTGTAGTCTGCATGTGTTTGACATCATATGTGAAAGAGTCTGTTTTTAAGAATTATTTCTATAACATGTTTTAACAAACTGTATGCTGAAAAATCAGACATTATTCAGAATGTATCAAACAACAGCTGTCAGATGTGCAGTGAGAAACTTCCATGACTATTGGCGTCCTAAGAAATGTCAAACCCAACTAGATAAACTTGAAAATGCAGAGAGGTCAGAGTGAGAGTGAGCTGGTTCTTTTCACACTCTGAAAAGTCAACATGGCGGAGGCGTGAGGTTTTCATCTCACACAGACCGTAAATTATGACGTGTCTATGTATGTGTGTGTAGCACAGTAGTTCCCCAAGTACCCACACAGCATCACACATCATATTTGTGTTAATTTGAACTGATTTTAAACTGGATGTTTTTAAACACATTTAAATATGTGAAATAAAAATTGGTACAGAAACAAGACAGTGATCCAGGAATTGATTTTTTTTTCTCTTAAGGGTTGGTTTCATATTGCTACCACTTGGAGTGGCAGAAGCTTAAAGTTTCAACCACTGAAACTGTTGTTGGTAACTTTTATAAAAATAACTTCTTGTCATAGTTGCTTAAACTGTCACTACATTCACATAGTATCACAGGAGACGGATAATCTGTAAAAAAAAAAAACAACAAACAAACAAAAAAAAAAACCTGATGCTGGTCTGCCTCCTCCTTGCACTTCTAATGACATTATCGCACCTGAAGTACCAGTCAGAGCCGAGGACTCTCTAACGAAGCTGTCAATCATGTCAATCACTGTTCGAGAACTGTGGTCAAACTGCCAAACTAGGCAGCGCTGATCAAATTTGAAAGAGGATTCTGTTGCTGCCTTGTTTATTTTTCGCCTCAAATGTTTTCAGAGACATATTTTAGCGCATTGTTTAGCTATAAAATGAGACAGTTGGTCCAGCCAGTAGCCATGTTTCCATCAGCCTGTTTAGATGCACATCTAGAAGTATCACATCGGAAAATTATGATGGAAACGCCAAAATTCGAATTAAAATCCCCTGATTCGCACAAACTAAAATTTGTTCGCTTTAGCCGGATTTTGGTTGATTAAAAAAAAAAAATGTTGATTCGCAAAACGGGGGATGGAAACAGTTATGTTCGAATTAAGTCTGACGTAGCACACCTCTCTCCATGGTGATATCCACACTCCAGGTCGGGAAGGCGGTAATGCATTTACAAGCTGGTTGCCAACGCCAGAAAACGTAGAAGAAGAAGAATGCGAGACTTGTTTTGTTTCCTGTTCTGAGGAAAACACGCGCGAGTTCGTAGTTTTCACAAAAGTCCGTACATTTAATGGAAACACACAGGATTCGTATTTCATTTAATGCACATTTCCCAATGATTCGAATCACTTTTGGATGGAAACATAGCTAGTGAGTGGTACTTGGTTTTTGCTCCACTTGAATGGGGATAAAATTATTAAATCATGTGGCTGCTCTAAACTTCAGAAATGTTATCGGACCGAATTAATGAAATCCTGATAGTGAAACAAGTTATTTTGCAGGGATAGTGCTGTTAAAAAAATATATCCACTGATTTAGAGACATCTCTTTCACAATGTAAGTCTTTGGGAAATAGTCTTTTTGGTATGGATCCTACGCACTGTTTTATAAATGAGACCCCACGTTTTCTTCCACTAAGTCCACCATGTTTCAACAGGAGACCAGACTGGACAAACCAATCAATCACTCTAGATAAGGCCATTCACGTTTTTGCGTCTGCCACTGTAGTTCTCCTACATGCTTGGCACACAGGTGCCAGTTTTCAGTTGGTTGTAATCTGCAACCTTGCTGCTAAATGCCACTAAATTGTACACACTAGACCTTCAAGCTAAATAAACGATTTGAAAACCCTCTTGGATCCGCTGGAAAATGCATCGTGACAAAGCTGAAAATACTGTAAGTACATTTAGCTGATAATTTTTACTTACTTACTTTTACTTAATTAAGGTTTTTAATGCAGGTTAATGGAGTATTTTCACAGTGTGGTATTAATACTTTTACTGAAGTAAAGCAGCTGAACAGTTACAAGATACCATTCACGAACCATCCTACTAGAGTGCCCCTTAGCAAAATGCTGAATAACAGTACCAGCTCCTGTCTGAATCGTCTCAAACACAGAGCTGGTACTCTTCACACTAAGTGATGAATATGTTGGAGAATATCTGTGTGTGTGTGCCAGGCTGACAGAGCGCTGTAGTGAGCTGAAGGACAGACATGACTGCAGTCAGCAGCAGCTCACATCTGGCTGCCAGGTAGCCTTGGAAACTGATGAGAGCAAAGGCAGAAAGCTGAAAAACAGGAAGGAGAAGGAGGCCTGATATTCTACCTTCCTTCACAGTCCCAAACATCTCACACGAGGCCTCGCAAACTGCTGGCAAACCAAAATCTCAGCTGGAAAATCAACTCTTTTCTCCCTTCTTCCTCTGTTCTTGGATGTCTCTGTTTCTCTTTTATAATACACAATTGGGAGACATGGAAAAAAGGGATGACACCACAGGTTGGAAGCCAGACTTAAAATCTTGATCGTGTGCAATAATTTCCACTATTAAAGTTGCAATAACAAAGTTTTATACGCCTCCACAGTACGAATGGACATAACATTTCTGCATGGTTTTGATAGAGACGTTGATCAATATCGATGAGTCAACTTTCTGGCGTTTGCAACTCCCTTTCCTGCTCAAACTTCTCAGGAAAAACACTTGGAACTTGAAACACTTGGAGAATAAGAAAACCAAAGTGAAGTGATACAAAACAAAAAGAGAAACAAGCTCAGACAAGAAGAGTTTTGGCACATGTTGGACCATGAACCTCCTGCTCCGTGACAGTTGTTTTGCTAGTCTAAAAGAATGATGCAGATTTGGGTGCATGAGAAATCAAACTCTCAGCCTTGAGTCGACATACACACACACAAACACACTCTTTTCATGGTGCTGAAAATATGCAGACTTTACACAAAAGAGGGAAATTTCTCAGGTCCACTTGAGGTTTTCTCAAATATCTGAAAGAGCGTTGGGCGAGCACTCCCTCCTCCTCCACAGTTCAACATCACAGCTGCCTGTCAGAAGATTTCTGGACAAGGTTCAGATGTTTTGACTGAAACGCTACACTCAGGACTTATAGAAAACTTTTCCAATTATTCACCTCTGCCGTCTCTCATCTACAATGCAAACTGCAAATGCAAAGTTTCTTACAAAGTATGTTTGTGCACATGCAGTGTTTTTATAACACACAATACAGACGTTTAGACACTGGTGTTGAGCCAGTGAAAATGTGTGTATTTTCCATTCTTCTCTTGGAAAATGGCTCCTTAAATGAAGGAAATTAATCTGCTAAATGAATTAAGGTTAGATATCTTGCCTAAAGGGAAAGCCTACCCAAATGATACGGCTGTGGTTAAACAACACGCCCATTTTCAAAATGCATACATGTCCATTCATGACAGTCCAAAAATATGACTAAACATGAAGAACTCTCTCCCAAATCCAAAAACTAGAGTCCTAAAACTCAAATTTGATGTTAAAGAGTACAGAGTCAGAAGCTGCTCCACAGACAATAAATTGGGAAAGATGGTCTGGGACAGCGGTTCCCAACTGGTCCAGATTTCTCCTCAGTCAATAGTTCAAGGTCCACACAGTTTAATACATTCAGCATCATACTTGCAGTTGGCTGAGTCATTGAGCTAGCTTGCTGTCTCTGTCAAGTAGCTGTCTGTTAGTCACTCACTCTGTAGCAGGAAACGGCACTTCAAAATAAAAGCTCTGCGCCAGAAATTCACTGTTCTCTAAAATAAAGTGACTTTTTTACAAACTTGACACATTGGCGAGTCACTTGCGGTCCATTCAGAATGGACCTGCTACCCACCAGTTGGGAACCACTGGGTCCGTGTACTTCGCGGCCATTCATTTTTCGTTTCAAAATAACAAATTGAAACACGGAAAACCAACCATTATCCGTTTTTTGTTTTGAAATGACCAAACGAAAAAGGAAAAAAAAACGATCCGTCTCCCGTTTTTTATTTGATAATAAAGAAAAGAAAAACAGAAAACGAATCGTTATCCGTTATCCGATTTAATTTGGGAATTTAAAAAAACCCTGTGGGAAACTCCTTATTTCATTCAAGTAGGCAACTCCTGTTCCAAAATTATCTCAGAGTTGTTTTTCCGACATGAGCAGGCGTTCATGTGTATTTTCCCGGTCGGAAAGTCATTTTTCCGATTATTCCAACACCACATGAATGCAACTTACTGGTCACAGAGAAGAAACGAACAAAAAATAGAGAAAGGAGTTTCCCACAGGGTTTTTTTAAATTCCCAAATTAAATCGGATAACGGATAATGATTCGTTTTCCATTTTTCTTTTCTTTATTATCAAATAAAAAACAGGAGACGGATCGTTTTTTCCTTTTTTGTTTGGTCATTTCAAAACAAAAAACGATAAAGGTTGGTTTTCTGTGTTTCAATTTGTTATTTCGAAACGAAAAACAAATGTACACGGACCCCACTGTCCTGGATGACACCTAGAGCAGCCAGGGGAGTGTTCAAGGTATATATAGGTACATTTCTTGCGTTTACCAGAATAAAGCACATTTGGGTATAAAAAAGAAGACAAATATTTTGTGGATCCATAAAATCAAGGTTCCATTCATTGTCTGTGGAGCAGCTCCAGACTGTCATATCCTATGACATCACAAGTTTGAGACTTACATCTCTGGTTTCAGGTTGAGAGAGCAGCTCATGTTCATAAATATTGATTGACGTTTCCTTGGCCATAGAAAGAACATATTAGAATTTATATCGTAGGTGGTGTTCGCCTTAAAAAGCCAGTTTAGTCAAATTCTTTCTTTTTTTTTTTACACATCTATCAATATTTTAAATGTAAAGCATCTTTTGAAGTGGGCTTCTAAGTGTGTTACCTACAGTAGATGGTGGTCAGCATGCTCCCAGCTTGGAGAAGCAGGCAGGAGTATCACCACAGAAGTTAAGGAATGTACTGCTGTGGATGGGGGCAGCAGCAAAATGTATTTTAGCCACCTAAAAAATGAAAACCAGTCTAAGTGTACACTATATTTAGAATCTTTTTTACTGCTTTACTTTGCTGTCAGACAGCCTTTTTGACAAGGAACTGCAGCCTTTAAATCTCCCTCTTCAAAGACTCCACTGAGAAGATCAGTAATTTAGCATCACTCATCACATCAGCTGCTGATCTACTGCTGCCTCCAACAGTTAACTTGTTTGTGTTATTGTGAGACTTTGACATTTAAAGTGCTAGTTCAGATTCAACAAAGTCACACAGTAACACAAACAAGCCAACTGATGGAGGCAGCAGTCGACCAGCAGCTCCTGCGATGAGTAATGCTAAATTACTGTCATCATCAAGGTGAAATTACTGTATTTGTCAAAGGACTTTGGAGAGAGCAGAGATGGATATAATGACTTCAGCTCTCTGTTAGACATCCCTGTATGACAACAAGGTCAAGCAATGAAAACATAGTGTAAGGTGGCTAAAATAAGTTTTGCTGCTGCCCCTCTCCACAGCAGTACTTACGCGTAGCTTCTGTGGTAGTACTCCTGCCTGCTTCTCCAAACTGGGGGCATGCCAACTGCCATCTATTGTAAGTAATACACTGAGAACAGATAAGCACCTCATACAACTTAACTTTAAAAGATCAAAACTATCCCTGTCAGCATTTCTGATGGAAAATGGCAAATTTAAAAAAATGCATCACAGCACAAAATCCACCATTCTACTAGTCAGTTAAGAATAAACCTTTCAGCTAAAAATGTAAAATGTAAAGTGATGTTTATTTATTGTTCCCGTTAAATAAATGATCGTGAGATAAATTCAAGAAGTTCCCATGATTCATTATTGAGAGTTTAGCTGTTTAGCAGTCAAGTTAAAGTCCATTTAAATCTAAATTTTCAATGTTGCTTGTGGACACTAATATTTGAATATAAGATCCCAGTGTGAAAAGACACAAAGAAGGAAAAGGAGAGCAACATAATTTGTCGTTGTGGCTCATCTGCTTATTGCAAAGACAATATTGCAAAGAAAAATCTGAATCGCAACTGAATTAACGCAAAACCTTGTTCTCAAAGATACCTGAAGTCATTGTGAGGTAAAAAGAAAATACAGATTGTCAGTTTCATTCCTGAGCAGAAATGAGACATTGTTGAAAGGTCTCCACACACAGTCCCACAAACCTGCAGGTTTCACTTAACTAATTTGAAATAACCATCTTACGTACCTCTCCCTGAGTCCAACAGTGGACTGAGCTGTTTAGACTCAGATTGAGACACTGGGCAGCAAAGAGGAAGCAGAGCGGGAATACAGATGAAGCCGAAAGAGCCAGAGAAACAGAAAGAAAGACAAAGAGGAAAGAAAGATTACAGAGTTGGACTGAAGATTGTTGCAAGCAGATACAAAACGAAACAGCACAGAGAGAAGCAACAACAGAGCACTGGTGAGAACTAATCTCATGACATTTTATGACCTGCATTATCTCACCTGCTTTAACATCCGTCTCTGATGTGCCGTAAGAAAGTAAGAAAGGGGTTTAAGTTTAGTTAAGCATCTTAAGTATCATAACCAATATTCAAGAGTACAAGAGATTGAACATGTTGGAGGGAAAGCTTCTTTTAAACCGATCCAGTTGCAGATCTGGCAGCACAAGACAAAATGGAACACCAAAAGCACACAAGGTTGAGGTTTTATAATCTAATTTTTGAGGTTTTCTACTCTAATTTATCAGGACGCGGGGGAATAATGGAAGTCTTGGCAGGGTGAAGCAGCAGTCACATTAACAGGTGCCTGATATATACTATATTTAACTACACTACAGGACAGACATTCAGCTGCATCAGAGAGAGAAAAGCTGGGCCTCGTTACAGTTTCTGGCAACTCTCTAGTTTGTCTGGATTGCGTTTGGAATCTGCAGATGAGCCAGCTTTCCAGGGTCGGAGCCAGTCTGGAGTATGTGTCTGTATTTGTTGTGGATCTGTAGTGAAGGAGTGCTACACTGTGGTAGTTTTCCTTCCCTGGTGTCGACTACGGCCTAAAGCTCTCACGGGCGAATTCACAAAAAGCTGAGAAAAACTGAGTGGCTTTTGTGGCTGCTTAACGTGCATAAATAAGATAAACAGAAACCTGGAAATTCTTCAAACACCCACAAAGGGTGACATAAACCCTAGACTGTGCTGTCAGGCAAACAGTGTCTTGGTGCTCTGTGTTACCTGCATGTATTTAAATTAGGTAATATGCATGGATTTGGGGCAAAATTGGCCTCTTTCTACACTAATGAGCCTCAATGCAAAATCAGTCCAGTTCACAAAGATCAGCCTAAATAAACGCACACAGTTACAGTGAAAATATTAAAATCTCCAGGGAGTTTTTGGTAACTGGATTTGTACTAATTTCAGTGTCTGAAATGCCTCTGACACTGCCTAAAATGCTGGATTGGCAGCTCCGACACCATACCACGTAATTTATTTATAAATAAATTAATAAAAGAAGTTTCACACTCTGATAAAACACCAGTTTCTCTCGAAATCAATTCTTATTCACTGCTTCAAAACAGTAGCCTACACAGCAAGATGTACTGTGTAGCCACCAGCAACTACTGTTTTAGAGCAGCGTAAAATAACTGATTTCCAGTACATAATTTAACGTTAGCTGCAAGATCTCAGCAATAATTGTAGTATTTTACACTCGAAGTCCCACCATTAAAAAGCTGTGTACAGAATTCAAGGCCTTAGGCTGCTTTCAGACCTAGAGTTGTCTCCTTTGGTCTGAATCAGGGACTAATTTTGTTCCAAAGTTGTATAATTGCCTAGAGTTGGTTCGTGTTCTCACGGCAGCATTTACAAGAGGACCAGATCAAATGCCTTGTGTGAGAAAGCTGCTCTTGATTGGTCAGAATTTCCATGTGGGAAAAATCCAGGAAGTAAAGCAAACGTTGAAGAAGAGTACACTTGCAAGATAAATGTGACACTTTCTAATGTCACAATGGAGGGACAACTACGCAGGTTGATTTTAGCGCTGCTCATCGTGGACTATATTGCTGTCATTGTTCATTTTAGTCAAACCATACAGTTTGAAAACGAGGCGCGGCTCCAACTAGAAAACAATGTTTTGATGCATTGGATGTGCTGAATGTGCATATTAAGGCAGTACAGGAGGAGGTGCACATTAATAATCCTCCAGGACTGTAACATGCTCATGTTTAACCCAAACAATGTGTCATGTGACTGCAGTTGGTTCACATCCAGGTCGGAACACCTTCTCACCACAAACCAACCGCACCAGAGTTCCTTTGGAACCGGTTATTGACCTATTTGGGATTCATTAAAGGGTAACAGCTACACAGCTAAGCCTCACAACAGTTCTTTTTACGGACCTAAATATAATCAAACTACAAACAGAATATGACTGCAGCCTTCTACTCTAGTCAGGACTCAGTGTGGTGTTTAGAGGTATACCCGTAATGGCAGCCTTCTTAGGAGGGGTGAGGACAGGTGTGGAGACGCCTGCTGCCCAGCAGCATGTGTAAATAACAGACAAGGAAAGAAAGGGAAGTGATGACATACAAGAACAAAGAGACTGAAAACGATGATGATGATGATGATGATGATGAGCTAAAAACAGCACTGATTATCAGCTTTGATTCTAACCAAAACCACCCGTGTATAAATAAATTACCTTACCACGATGGCAGGGCATGTTTCAATACTTCTTTTAATATATAACTTTCAGAAATAAAAACATGCTATTCTTTAAGACCAGTTCACAGAAAAATCCAAACTTCTTGAACGTTTAACATTGTCTTACAAGACATATAAGAACTTTGATATATGATATACACTCTGAAATTTGAAAAATTACAGCTTAAATCAGAGGCTGATTTTTGTTACAGACACAACTGTGCTAAAAAAATGTTTGAAACACAGCCCTTCTTACAATATATTGTACAAGATGTTAATTGTTATGTTCATGGTTTCTTCTATGCACTCTTCCCCAGATGTTTGATCTGAAGATTTGTGTTTGTACTTTCATATGAGTTACTTATACATTAGACCTTTAAAACATTTCCAGACCTTTACATGATAGGAACATGGTATGTTACGGTGACTACTGACTCACCAGCACTCCCAGCGCTGCCCTCTCTCCGACCTCTGGCACTGCCCTCACGCCCTGACTTCACCCTCTGCAGAAGAAGAAACAAAGGGAGGAAGGTAATTGAAAAATTAAGATTAAACTGTGGTGTTTAACTTGCTGTGCACAGCTTTTAACATGATTGTGTTTTTGTTTTATTAAAATACTGGTGAAATAAAAACAAAAACCTGCACTTGAAACAAAAAAGGACAAACAGTTCATGCTAGATTAATGGATTCTAGTGACATTTTCCTCTCTCTTTTGTCATCTCTCCCTCTGTGTTTCATGAATTAATGTTCAGTTTTAATGGCTTGAAAACAATTCTTAAAACTAAAACCATCTAACAAAGCTAAACAGAAACATTAAGATACAAATTCAAGTGGAATTTGACATTAAAATACAAAAACAGAACATAAATGTCACATGTGAACAAGTCTTATATTCTCAGTTGGGGTTTCTGAGTCTGTTGCTGAAACACCACAGCAACGAGCGGTTAGCAACAAAGATGGGAATTTAAAAACAGTAAAACAAAGATTCATGAATTTCCATGGTAAAATAAGACATTTAAGATAAACACAGCATCAGACAGAGTCGTGGTTTCATCATCTTCCAATCATGCTCTCATTCATCATTTTCAACAGTATCCAGTGATATTAGAAGGATGAGTTGTTTTTTCGCTAACATTCAGTTTGGAGATTCTCAGGACTGATGACTCAACCCTCTGACTCTGTCTGACTCTCTAGTTTCTCTGGACTGATTTAAGAGCAGCTGCTTATAATTTAACAAAGTCATCCCTCTCATTCGTTCCTGGCTCGATGGCACACAGATCTGTCACACTGAATCACGCCTTCTTTAAAAGATGACTGACCCCAAACCAAAAGGCTTGTTATCTACTTTTTGGGCGAGCATCTGATGTTTTGGAGCCACACAGATACTAGTTAGTGCATCCTTCAAGACAAGGATGCAGTGAAGAATTACTTGAGTGCAGAACTTTTGTCTTCAACCTCTGGTAGTTGTAGTAATTACATGAACATTATTCATGACGTATGTCTGCAGGTGAGCTCGCTGCATCTTCCCCAACCAGGAGAGCTCTCTTCAAGTATTCCATGCAAGCAAAGGCAGATGGAAAGAAAAGGTGATAGAATCGTCAGACGAGGTTATTATCTTTGCCAGAAATGTACCCTTCTTTATGCCACAGAAAAGAGCCTTTCCACCAAGTACACTTTTTTTTAGAAGGTTGTTATAAAGCAACGGCTAATTACCTACAGATTTTAACTGATAGGTTAGTGGATAGAAACTAACTGCTAACTACAGTCGTGTCTGATATTTGTCCCCTCTCTTCATTCAGTGCTCTCCAACGAGGAAAAGCTACACCAGTGGAGATCTGTATTTGTCCTCAACGATAATCACTTTCTTTTTTACAAGTTTAATTCTTCCTCTGAATGCAGAGTTTCCTTTTTATCTGAGGCATCAACTCAAGAAAGTTTTCTTGGATGCTTTCTAGGATTTTCCGTCATGGCTTCCTCTGTACTCCTACAGTAGCTGCTGCTCCGTCACTATGGTCTCTATCTTCCTGCCCCCTCTTGCTGTGCCTAGTTGATGGTAAATGCATCACTTCTGGTGGGCCAGTGCAGGAATGTCACAGCTGACATCAGACACCACAACTCAGGTATACACAGATAAAAAAATACAGGGCTTCTCTTGGTGGTGACGCACTTATTCAGTATGATGTGAACTTGTTGGGCTTCGTTCGTTCATTTATATGTAAAAGTCCCACACCATATAGCTTTAAATGGGTTATTTTCAGAGCTGAATAAATTGATGATAAACACAAACAAGACAACAGAATAATGGATCCTGTGTATCCTGTGATCTTGGCATTACCACTTAAAGGGGAATTCCATCGTTTGTCTGCACATCTTGAAGAGTACAACTGCATAAGTGAAAAAAAAAACTTGTATAAAGTCTTTAGAAGCTTCAAAATCTGGTAAATGTCTCCAAGGGACGTCACATGAGTCCGGTGTTGCCAACTTGGCGCATAACCGCTAGATTTTGCAACTCTTCAGACCCTCTTAGGAACTTTATTTCTTAAAAGCAACAAATTCGGTGACGTATTGAGACCATCAGAGAAAAAGAGAGAAATATATTGTAATTCAATTCCATGCATGCTGCTCAGAGTAATCACAGTCCACGGCTCTTTGGCCATCAGCGCAGGGTCTTTCCACCTCTTTCCTCTTGTGCAATGTACTAGGCGTGGACCAGGCATGAGGAGAGAAGACACCACTCACAGCAGAAGTGAGAGTTCAGTTGTAGTGATCTTCTATGATTACCTTGCATGAGAAGGTTGTGCGCTATAAAATAAGTACCAAAGCTCTCATATCATTCAAAGATTTTGTTTGAGATTTTTCTATTGAATCTAATTCAGTGTAGTTTTGATGCTTCCATTGATGCACGGTGACGTCACCAGTATGAAAATGAGCATATGATGTCACTTCAAGTATTTCAAGTGGACATCTTTTGATGTGACTTCAAATTTTATTAAACCAAAGACTGTTTAAGACTATTTAAGTATATACCATTTTCTGTAAGAGGCTGTGACTTTATTTACATGAACGTATAGATCAATACATGATGTTCTTATTACCTCCGCCAAGGAGGTTATGTTTTCGCTGGCGTTGGTCTGTTTGTTTGTCTGCAAAATAATTCAAAAACTTATGAACGGATTTTGATGAAAATTTCAGGAAAGGTGGATAATGGGACAAGGAACAGATGATAAAATTTTGGTGGTGATCGGTTGAAGCAAAGTGGATAAAATAATAAATAAAGTCTATCGTCTGACAGCCTCAGCAGCAATTCCAATTTCTAATGAGACGGTGAAAATAGCACCATCTGGTGGTCGGAAAGCACGTCTTGTTCTACTTGCTAAATATTGTTGTAATTCTAAAGTTGAAATTAATGTTCTGTGTTGGAAAAAAAGAAAGTGAAAAATACAAAAAAACATTATATTCTGTGTTGGTACAAAATAAAAACGAAATAAATACACCACACTGTCTCCATGGTGAAGGCATATATAACCTAATAATGATAGTGATGCAAATAACCTAATTGTGAGGCAGGCTGCAAAATCTGATGCAGAGGGGGAGGGAATATCACCTACTAGGCGGAGGTCTGCACTCTCCGAGTGGTTTTCTAGTTTCTATTTGCAGACTGAAATAACTTCTAAATTCTAATCTGGTGACTTTTAGCGACTTTCAAAGCTAGTGCTAGCTACTTTCATTGGAAACGAGTTGGCAACACTGCAGTCAGTGTTAGTTGGGGCTGAAGAAAACAAGTTTGAAATAAAATGAGGAGGTGTGGAATTAGAAAGTCAGATCAGATTTCTGTAGCCAGCTCCTCATCTCTGCTTGAGGACAGCAGCTTGAGGCTACATTAGTTACTACTAAATGGACTGTACCTTTCTAGTCCTCCGACCACTCAAAGCACTTTTTACACTACAAGTCACATTCTCCCATTCACACACACGTTCATACACTGGTGGCCGAGGCTACAATACAAGGTGCCACCCGCTACTTCACCGTTGGAACAACCATCAGTAATTTGGGGTTCAGTATCTTGCTCAAGGATACTTCGGGATTGAACCATCAATCTTCAGATTAACATCTGAGCCACAGCCGTCCCTACCAGTACTAGCATAACACACCCCTATTTCGCATCAAACTCATGGCTGTCAAGCTGCATTGGGGGTAATGTTGGTGCCAGATTTCAAAAATGAAGAAGAATATTACGCAGAATAGAAATAAGACAATGTCTCAGGTTCTGCGGCATCGAGTTTGATCCTTTTTAAGACAAAAATTATGTGAAAAGAAAACAGGAAAGCAGCAGATGTAGAGTTTGGAGTATACTCAAACAGGTCTTGTAAGATAATATTGTGTAAGATAAGTGTCGAAACCACTAAGATACAAGAACACAGCACTTGTCAATCCAGGAACATGCCTCCAGTAATTCAGGATTTAGATTGATAAGGAAACCACAGGCTTCCTTCGCCCATCAGAGAATACAGAATAATAATCCTGACTTTAATCAAGCCCGTAACCACATATCTAATCCATTCAGATGTCTCAGGTGACACTGAACAACTGTCCAAACACAACAACTGTTTGAAAATGACCCAGCATTCGTGTCAGCCAGGTGTTGGACAGCTGCGTAGCGTCTCCTCTGAACACGGTTTGATTCATGGAAAATCAACAGAACTGGAGAAATGCAGCTGTTTTTCATGCATTTCTGGAGCTGCAGTGACCACTGACCCATTTTATGGCAAAAGGATTCATGTGTGTTTTCAATCAGCGTGTTCTTGTCCAGGAACAGACGACAGGACGCCAAGATATTGGTGAGGAAAAGATGATTAATGACAGCTTGCGAAAGGTCTGTAATGTAAGACTGCAAAACAAGCAGGTCATTTATGAAGCTGCAGGATGTTAATATTATTCAGATGTATTACCTAATTTGAATGTTATATCATTAAATGAGGTTGCTTGTGTAAGACTGTTGATGTATTTGGACTCTTGAATATAATCCAGAACATTTTTGATCTTTCATCTCTGGTGATTAACTCTCACTGTGTGTTTTTTCTGCAGAGCAATGCCAACAGACCTACTATCGATCAAACACTGTGACATCGTCCTCCAGACTTTATGGTCATGAAGTTTTGTTTCTTCACTTTCTGTCATTTTCTATGTTTGTTTAATGATATTAGTTACCAAGGTTGCTGCTAGGTACCCACTTCTTTTTCTTTTTATTCCGAGCAAACTGCAGATGTAAAATACATAGCTTCCCACGTGCCATTTTGAGAGGAGAGCTATCAGACTCCAAGTGATGACAACTGTAAAAGCTTTTATAAGCTGCCAACAGAGTGAACCCCAGTGCCAACCTCCAGGTCTGAAAATGAAAGCAATGCTGCAGTGCTAAAAACTGCAGTTCCTCTAACGGCTACTTGAGGCTGGCTCCAAGAACGAGTCAGTCCCCACAGACTCCCATGTTAAAATGCTGAACTTTACAGCAGAAATAAACATGTTACAGCCTGGTACAAAAAACAGTTTTGGTCTCTTTGGCTAATTTTCCCATTCATGACAACTGTGCGGGGGTGAATTTTTTATATAACTCACCTGTGTAAATGTTATTGAGGCTTAAATTATGCATAATTAAGGGCGTGGCCACTCTGAGTGACAGGAAGGTGCCTTCTGTAACAAGTTGCTACCACAGCAACAACTTTAGTTAGGTAATGTAGCCATGGCATAACCCCAGATTAACAGAGAATAGGCATAGGTGTAGCTGTCACTATTTCAGTGTGTTCTGAATTCATTGAAGTTAATTTTAAGATTTTGGTTGCCCATAAAAAGCCTCTTTTCATGTTTGGTTGTACAACAGGACCCTATATGTCGAGTCGAATGTTCGGTTTTTCCAGTAAGCACATTTTGTTTTTATGTTTTTAAGCCTGTTTTTCTTCTGGCAAATATGACATTTAGCTTTAGCATTATCATAGTTAACCATAGTTGTAAATGCATTGTGCTAACCAAGCTAGCAGCTAGCATTAGGATTAGCTCTATCTTCTTGCCCAAAAATTGTCACTTCTGGTTTCCAAAATCCAAGATGGCGACAGCCAAAATGCCAAACTCGAAGCTTGAAACGGGAGTCCACAAACCGATGGGTGAGGTACAGTGGCTACGTAACAGGACTAAGACCACCTTTTTAAGAAGGTCTTGGTCCGGGTGTTTCGGCTCACACCTGCCTAAATGAACCGCACTTAGGGGGCAAACAAACTTGAATTTGATTGAACCAAACCAAACAGGGCAGGTGTGAAGGCACCCTTAATGTGCATTCTTTCTAGTGGCCAGTAGGGGGTGAGCTGATAGAGAAGTCTATGAGAAAATGACCCTACTTCTCACTTGATGAACGTAAACACAACAATTTATGGCTTCAATCTCTGGTTCCAAGTCTTTCTCCACACATCATGATGCTCATTTTGTAGAGAACAGCACAACAGATGTTTATTTACACAAAAATGTTGCCAGCTGCTCTTGTAAATGCAAACTTAGATGTACCTGTTCTCTGATTTCCTTCATCTTCTCCACCTTCTTCAGCTTGTCGGCGTATTCTTGGACTTCTTTCAATCCCATGTCTTTGCACAGCCTCACCAAGAAACGCAGACCTGGATAAACACACACACACACACACACACACACACACACAGTTTTTTTTTATCTCCTTTGCACTTCGATAAGTGCATCATCTGCTGTTTGTCAAGAGTTCTGTTTAAAACTGTGGAACAAACAGGATGAACCTTCCACATTTTCTGGGAACTTGCGGTGAATGTCTTTATATGTTTCCAGAGCTTTCTGGTAGTTTCCTGTGAGGGAAAAAAGAAAAGCATTTATGTTTACAACTCTAACTAAGCTCATTGCTAGGTCACTCAGCAAAAACAGGCTCAGTCGATTGTTTTGAAGCCGTTACGTGAAACAGCTGTTACTTTCCCACACTCACAGTCAGTAAATACACATCCAAACTTAACAAGATCAGAGTGGACCAAAACGACTGAGCACTGCTGCTTGTGTATCATGGACATGATACAGTTTGGGAATTCCAATGTGGAGTGAATCTATACTTTATGATCTGGTTTTCAGTGTCAGGTTGGCAGAGAATATGCAAAACATGATATTTTACTGTTCAGTGAAAGAAGACAGAATCATTCTCACCACTTCTTCTGTAGCAGCTTGCCACCATCAGCTGCCACTGCACCTGGGTTGGTCTGAGGAACACAGTAGAAATACATCACATACACTGAACTTCCTTTTTTGTTTTTTAAAGAAACTGTAAGATTTAGGAGGATTTCTTTGCATCTACGAGCGAGGATTGCAGATTACAACCAGCTGAAACTTCTCCTAGTTAGAATTCCTTCAGTGTTCATTGTTCAGGAGGTTTTCACTGGGAGCTGAATTAGCCGCAGAAGTCTCTTCCTCTCCAAAATAAACAGACCAGGTGATGTTAAAAATCAGCGTTTTTCCGATGCTGCTAAGGTGGCCGACGTGAAAGCGTGTAGTCCTGTCTAGAGCCAGTGTTTGTTTTGTCCATTCTGGGCTACTGTAGAAACGTGGTGGTGGACATTTCCTTGGTCAAGGACCTGCTCCATATGTTGATATGAACAGGTCATTCTAAGGTAACCAAAACACGATGACTCTTATTTTGAGGTGATTATACGCTAAAGAAAACATACTTATTATATTAAAAAAAATATCACACTGATTAATCACGTTCTGTGGTGCCCTTTAACCCGGCGTGTTACTGAAGGCCACAGTGGCTTTGTCACACTGCTTGGCCCTGTGAATGGAACATCTACATTTTAAAAATGCCCACATGGAACAGTTGATAGTAGCACCATTCTCTGCAGTTTCTGCAGAAAGAATTTTTGTACCATCGAAGGGGAACTGCCCATTGGTTCGACATCCCATTGCTCCGACCATATTAAACTCATTGTTCCGAAGTCTGTTCTGAAATCCTCATGATGCCCTGTGGTTAAGGTCTGGTTAGGTTTAGGCACAAAAAACCACTTGGTTAGGGTCAGGAAAAGATCATGGTGTGGGTTAAAATGAAAAAGAAAGTGACAAACTCCGTGAGCCTGCTCCGCCTCAAGCCGGTTGCGGCGCACCATACGCCCGCCGCGAGCCGTTCAGCACCGCGGACAGTCGGACCAATGGGCTGTCGAACCAATGACATGGACCCCCATCGAAGTATTTCAAGACTGAAATATCACCTCAACACAAAGCATTTAGCAACGAACCCAGAGGTCTGAGCTAGCACAGCCTCTGATGCTGAAGTTAGCAGCCAGCCACGTCAAGCCACACTCGACCAGGCGTTCAGACACAAACTGAGTAAGTCTACCTGTGATTGACTAACTTACTCCCTTACAGAATGGACTGCAATGGACAGCAGACCAGTTTAGGTGGTAGAGGACAGGGGGACAATTGTGTCCAGAATCCAGCAGCTTTACTTCGACACATCTGCCAAAATTAATTAAATTGCATTTTTAAAAGTATGTTTACAGCAAAAGTTGATGTGTGCAATTAATTTAGATTAGTCACAGAGCATGTCATTAATTAGATTAATATTTTTAATTGCTTGACAGCTCTATATATTATATTCCATTTCTGCCATAATCCTCCTAAATCCTACACACTGGACCTTTAAAGAAGAGACTGGTAAATGAAAAAAAAAAACAATTTGGAATTCGGCTGAAAGACAAACAAAACCAAATAATCTGTCCTCTTTGTTCAGGACAGAAAACAACTTCTAGATGAAGCTTTGTGGTTGATTAAAGCAGAACACAACGACTAAAACAAGATGAAATGAGACATGAATCTTTTAATCGAATCAGAAAAGTGTAGAAATAGCATTGTTTCTCAGGAAGAACTGAACTTTACCAGGAAACACTGCCAGTATATGAACTGCCAGCTGCTAAAATTATCATCAAGTTTACACAGATCTATTTAGTTTGTTACAATCACTTTGTTAATGACTATCACTGGTGGTCACTTACTGTATGAGTGTGGCTCTTTCGAAGTACTGAATGGCCTTCTCACAGAACTGTGTGTCGATGTAGTAAGCCCCGAGCCACTCAATCACATCAATGTTAGAGGGGAAGTACCTGAAGGACTGGACAGCAACACAAATGACCAACATCAGAGCACTTACGGGGCCTGTGCTTACTGTATTTTTCCCATTTTCAGATCCACTGCTGTCAATGTAGACGCGCTCAAAAGCCAGAGCAACAAAAAGCAGGTCACATAGCACCCCTAAACACACACCAGGGTGTTCCTTCAATGTTCACAAAGTATTAGTGGATCATTGCTTTCATATTCAATAGCATATTAAATTAAGAAAAAAAATTCACTCAAGGCAAGGTAAGGAAGGTAGTCATCTTGGATACTGTGCGGTAATATTCATTTTTCAAACACATTTGAGGATTTCAGATGCAAAAGAACTCATGAAACTTTGCCCTTTGCACACTCTGCTGTTCAGCCTTGCAATTATTTTGATTTGGTGGTGGAATTCATCTCAGGCATGGCTCCCCTGCTCTATAGCACCCCCCAATGACTTTCAGCCTTTGAATACGGTCAATTATTTTCATTTTCCCTGTACCGATCCTTACCCAGTATCAGCTATTACCACAAAATATTACATCAACAATAAAATTCTCTAGTGAAAAATCTCCTCCTGCTTTCATTTAACTGGCTAACATACTACTCACTGCAAAATTATGCCTGGGATAATGTAAACACAGACTCTATCGGTCTACCTGCTTTAAATTGTTTGGCCTGATTTTGTGGAGGAATCAGACCCGGGGACAGGCGTCAAGAATAATTATACAGAAATCTTCTTGCTGATGTAGGGGCAGTTGAAAACTCCTTGTAGTTGCTTCAAGTCCTCAGACAGAAAAAACATTAAATCATCTCTTACCTCATAGTAGTACTGGAAAGCCTGGGACTTGTCCCCCTCTGCATCGTAGAGCTTTCCCAGTTTGGCCAGTGCCTGGGGGTCGGTGTGAGTTACACTCAGCACCTGTAACAACCACTCAATTGCCTGCTGGCGGTCATTCAGAAGCTCATAGATGAAGCCAGTGAGTCAAGGACCAACAGATGCTCACGTGGGAATGAACACAGACACAGAGTTGAATCTCTCAGTGAGCACCCAGAAACGTCTACTGAGGTACAACATTTTCAAAGCAGTTCCAGACAAACACACGCAATAGATTACACTTGTTATCAGTAGGATACAGGTTGGCCAGCTGGTACATGACTTGTGCGCTGTTCCTCAGAATCGCATGGAGCTTCAGGAAGCAGTCGAGAGCCTCCTCCAGACGATCCAGTCTCTTATAGGTTAGACCTGGTACAAGTGGACAATGAAAAAAAAAAAACTTAACTTATGTACTGTGAATCTAAGGCCAATCTGATACTGACACTATAACAAGTGTCTTAAAGTGTCTTATAACAAGTGCCTTTGCCACCTTGCAATATGAGAAAGAGCCATCTCATCTAGTTGCATTGGTGCGAACCAGGAGGTTTTTAGAACGTTGCACAGCATATTAGCAAATCTGTGGTCTGAACTGGGCTTTAGGCGTCCATGATATTCATGAATGAATGATCCATGTGCACTTTGTGTTAAGGTTACTATAAATCAATGTCTAGATTATCCGCTACTACACTGTATCATGGACATGGATGTTACCCAGGTTGTAGAGGGCCTCAGTGCAGGACGAGTCATTCCTCAGAGCTTCTTTGTAGAACTCTGCAGCCTTCTCATAGTCTTGTTTGACGAACACCGTGTTGCCCTTGTTGATAAGTGCTGCCGGGTTGTAACGATCAGCAGTCATGGCGAGGTCAGCGTACCGGTCGGCCTGGTCGTAGTCCTTCTCCTGTAACACAGAAAGATCAGAGAGGAAGAATAAACCAGCAGCAGGTTGGTACAGAGAGCGGAGGCTGTGATTCAGCCATCGTTACAACTGGAAATACACTCGACAGCAAACATCCACTGTGCTGAAGTGTCCTTGAGCACCTGAACAAATCATTCAGCTTCTTTATAAATGTCTCTGTGTGTTATCTGAGAGCCTTTTGATTAGTCAATGAGAGGATCTTACCAGGAAGTAGAGGAAGGAGAGGTTGGTGGCAGCAGCACTCTTCACTCTGCTGTCCTTCTTCTCAAACGTCTTCAGAGTCTCCACTGCCTGATAACACATAATAAAAAGCTGTCAGGGTAAACGTTATATATACAATTATACTGCATAACTTCAGTACAAGCCAATTACCCCAGTATGTAAAACACCTACAGTATATAAATTAGACAAGTATAAACCATGAAGTAATCCCCAATTAATGAAAGAGTTTAAAGATAAAAAATGATTGATGATGATACACAGTGTAATGAGCTTTTTCCTCAGACACATAACTTTGAAATAAAACTCTTCATATTTAATTGGTTGTTATGCTGCTGGAAGTGTGTTACATACTGGGGAGATTTTCCAGTTTTAAAGTTGTAAAAGTTGTTGAGAAACCACCACCTAGGCTACAGCTGCATGGATGCTACAGGTTAAACCACCACCGTCTATCAGGAGTGTTAAAGCACCACACACACATGCATCAGATGAATATGGAGCTCCAAAGTATTCAGTATCGGATAAATTAATAGATACTTATGAAATAAATAATCACATGAAAGTTAAACAATCATTAGTGAAATAATTCATGAAACTCAACTCATTATAAAATGTTATTTCGTCCTCAGGGCTGGGCGATAAAATGTACATCAGTGACGATGATAAACTAAAGTCATTTTTACTCAACATGAATAGACCTGGACAGATCCAAACAGTGTCATGTAGCATAAGTTAACAGACAGCTGTCAGTCAGTCTGCAGTGTTGGGGATCTGCGTCATTGTATATGCCTATTTTTCACTGCAAAGTTTGTGCCGAGGTGAGGAGGAATTGAAAGTAGCGTGGACATAACAAAAAGAGAGGAAAACCAATCACATGTGCCCTGTCTCTTTAGATAGCAAGCTCAACAAATGCTACCAGAGTTAGCCAGTTAGCTCCTGTTAGAGGGAGACAACAATGTCAAAGTAATTCTGAACCAACCATCTATTTTCAGCTCTAAATAAAAACAGCACACCACTGTCATGAAAAGTGATATTATAAAGTAAAACTTGGCATGATATGAAAGTGTTACTGGGAGAAATACCAAAATAAAATAAAAACTGACTTTAGAAAAAGGGCATTTTGAAATAAAGTGTCTATAGTGAAATAAAACTGATATCCAGCTATCAGAAAAATGAACAATGACATAACGTTTTGAGTTGAAAATTGTTGATTCATTTATATATTTCACAAAATGAATTCATATGGTTATCAACTTCATAATGTCTTTCTAATTTCCTGATATCAAACATTTTGGGGTTCCACAGATGTAAGGCCTGTCGATGTTAGAGAGTTGGCTGCTGTAGGTTCATATAATTGGAAAACCTTGGAGCTGGAAAGTGTTATCAGTGTTCAACTGCTGACCACAGACCAGCTCCACTGGCAAGGCTGCAGTTCGTTATGAACACAGCGGTAAATTGTTATGGAAGGTATAATTATAATTTCCTTCACTGGTCTGTGGGTTTTAAAGTAATAACTGCTTTTCCAACTTCCCCTGGCAGTGTTGTTATTTGGAAAAGTGCAATGTTAAGTAGTAACATGTCAGGAAAAAGAAAAAATAAAACCCAACACAATCTAAAAGTGAACACGGAAACAGAAAGCACACATACCTCAACCTTAGGCATGCAGATGGGAAGGAAACAAGACAAAAGCAAGAGAGAATGGAGGGTAATGAGAAGGGGGAAATCTGAGTCTGATACTGCACACTCCTAAAACACCATGAGCAGGAGAAAACTGACATGTAAAACAACGCTGGTAAATAATGTTGTAATAAATATACAAATCACAAAAGATGGAAAAATGAAATGAAGAGGACAACGAAGACCAAATCACCCACATCTTACGTGTATTTAAAGGGAAATACCACCCACTTTAACAATTTCTGCATACAATATTCGGCATGTTCTATCAAATCTATTACAAGGTGGCAGATATTAGCACAATACTGCGGCAACAAGCACAGACTGAAGGAGTGAGCAGCCTAAACTGAGTGGTATTGCCCTTTATCCCGTTAAGACAAACAGTCACCTGGTTGAAGTCCTTCTGTCTGAGGTAGGTGATGGCTTTGTTTATCTCCAGATCGTTGGCAAGCTCCACATACTGAGAGCTCTTCACCATGTCCACACACCTAAAAGAGAAAAACAAGAACCATACATGCACAGTGTAACACTGCTATCTGTTGCCTGCCTCTTTTACTGGCCTGAAACTGTGCAAAATAAATTTAAAAACTTGTGTCCAGCAGTTATTATTGTTTCCATCTTTGCCTGTAGAGTGATCTAAGTGGGTGGGAAGTCCAGGAAAATATTAAATCTGATTACGAGGATCAAGAGAAAACATTCTAAGACATCCAATGACACTCCCTAAACTTTTGATTTGCAGTCCCAAAACAGAATTTTGAATAAAGCTGGGCTCAGACTACAGGAATTTTATAATCCTCACTGGTTTTGAAGCCAGGTTGCGTCATATTCATCAGGGGAAAATTCACCAATGTTGTTCTTTCCAATCTCAAACATGCACATATTACAAGATTTAAAATTAGGGTACAACACCGACTACAGGATATTTATTAAGATTATTGTGCCAAAGAGAGCATGAATGCACCATGTGATCTCATGGGGAGACCGATGTAAACCAAATAGAGTAACATGGTGTGACAATTTGCTGTAATGTTAACAATGCTTTGCAGTGAGAAAAACGAAAGCAGAACGCTAAACGAGTCTGGATGAGAAAATGGTCAACACTATTCTTCAGCAAGGTGAGATTTGACTGTCTTTTTAAACATTCAACAACAGTAGTAAGCTGGCTAACATTAGCCACTCATTACTGTTACGTTATCATAACCATAAACATCCAGATTGTAAATCCTAAATATCAAACATGTTTGAAATTACCAGGGCGGCCCTGATGAGTCTGTGTGCAGTTCAGGAGGTTTAGGACTGATTTTTATGCTGACGATACACAGATGTACCTGCCCGTTAGATCCACAGACCATGGAATGATGGGTTCACTCAATGACTGCCTTACTGATGTTAAAAGCTGGATGTCAAAAAAATGTCTTCAGCTGAACTCAGACTAAACAGAGATTGTTGTCATCGGGCTCCACCACATTACTTAACAAATTCTACCTTTGGCTGGTCCCCTATTGGATAATATCAAACCTGTTGCAAGAATTTTTGAAGTGTGGTTTCACAGTAATTAAAGTTTCGAGCAGCATGTCACAAAGCTTGTGCAACTTTTATCATCTTAGAAATATTTCAAAATATGATCCATTTGAACTTGTAAAGACACACAGACAATTTCACACGCCTTCATTTCTTCACGCCTCAATTACTGCAACAGCTTCTTTTCTTGCCTGAATCAAAAATCGACTCCAGAATGTACAGAAGTCAGTTGCTAAGAGGCATGATCACATCACTCCAGTTTTAGCCTCTTTACAGTGGTACACAGTATGTTTTAGAATAGATTTTATTGATTACTTCAATACGGCTCTTCATGGTCTCTCTCCCAGCTACATCTCAGACCTCTTAATGCTGTATGCGCAAGGACGTACTTTGGTCGTCGGGCAGAGGTCTTTGGTCTGTTTCAGAGGCCTGACTAAAAAACTTAAGTAGACAGAGCATTTGCTGTCAGAACCCTCAAGGCTCTGGAACAGTCTGCCCGAGGAAATCAGGTTGGCCGAGTCAGTGATCTCTTTTAAATCCCTTCTTATAACATACTTAAATCTGAGAGCCTTTCCTGATTTTACTTGAGTTTTAAGTTCATTTAGACCGTATCTTATTTCCTCAGTTTTTATATACTAAAGTGTTTTATCAGTTCTTTTAAAAGTTGCTGTTTTCATGTCTTGTCTGTTTATGATATTACTATTATCATAAGACTGGATCTGTAAACCTCTCACATTACTTGATAATCTGGGCCAAACATTAGTACCAAACAAAGTCCCTGACTAGATTTCCTTTTTTTATTGGGAGGAGTGAATTCGGGGTAAATTGGCCCCAAAACTCCTGTAGTCTGAGCCCAGTTCAGCGTCTATACAGCAGTTCAGCAGAAACACTAATATATAATAAAGTATAGTGTCATAGTGTTTTGAAAATCATGTTTTTGTGTTTCTGAGTTCTTCAGATGACTGTCATGGAGCAGGAGTCCTTTGGATCATTGTCTGCCCCCTAGTGTTCAGATGTTAAAATAAAATAAATAAAAAGCCAACAGTAACAAACCAGTCAAAGCCAGTAGCAAAAGAAGTCTCAATGGCCGGAGCGATGAGCTTGGCTGCGGTCATTATGTACTTCTCAGCCAGGACTTTTCTATGTACAGTTCACAGGCAGAAACAGAAGAGGACAACAGGTAAGTACAACAAGCTTTTAAGGACAAGACGATAATCACATGATGATGTATTGCTGAGGACGAGTGTGTGTCTGTGTTGAGACTTTTCTTACAGGTCTCTCTCCATCTGGTGAAGTTTGTCGTTCTTAATGGCCTCAGTGACCATACTTGATTCAGTGTCATCCTGAGAGAGACGACAGGACAAGGCTGACATTGAGAAGTTATTCAACAGTACCCAACACTTTACTGTAAATATTGTTGCTCTGTATAAAGTCTGTTGTTGTCACCTACAGAAAAAGGAGTATAGTAAACTGCTTCATTTGTTACAAGATGAAAGGCAGAAATAAGACGACTGAATAGTTTGTACGAGCAGTGATCATTATTATACAACAGTGCAGGACAGAAACACCAAAACAATGGCGCTTCACAAGAAAGATGAAGATTATAGACACCTACTGTACACACAGACACACTAACAAAGAAAGAAACTTAATACACACTATAAGTCTACATGTATTAATAAACAAACATATTTAACTGTAACTCACATTCGATGTGATGTACTTGTCTTCATCGTCGATCCCCAGAGGGACAGAGATGAGCTTCTGAAAGGCCTTCTTCATCCTCTCCCTGTCTCCGATAGCATAATAGCACAGGATGAGGTTGAAGCCTGTCTTGATGTTGGGACTCTCACTCATGATGTGCTCAAATGATGTTATGGCGTCCGAGTACTGGCCCATGCGGACAAAGACGACGCCGATGTTCTGCATGATCTTGATCCTCATTTCCTTGTGAGCGTTGGAGATCTGATCCAGCGCCATCCGGTAGAACTTGATGGCTTTGGGGTAGCTCTTCTGTTTGACATAGATGTTGGCCATGTTGACCTTCAGACGGCCTGGAGGAGCAGCACAGATGTTGTTTGAGGGAAAACCACAACAAACATACAACTGCTACAGCAAATAATATGACGCAGGGAGGATTATTTGACAAGTACACCGAAAGTCTTTGTCATTTTTTTATGCTATCTGTTGACTATCTTAAAGGGGTAGTTTTTAGAAGTGTGGTTTTATGAGTTACTTATCAATAGTCAGTGTTTAAGCTACAGTAGATGGCAGTCGGCACGTCTCCAATTTGGAGAAACTGCAGCAAAGTGTATTTTGGATTCACCAAAGTCACACAATATTACAAAGTCTGGTGGCTTTTAAAAGGGCAATATAAAACAGAAATAAACATGTTTACAGCCTTATAAAAAATACTATCGGAATCTATAGCTAATTTCTCAATTCACAACTGTTTGGGGTGAATTTTTGTACAACTTACTGCGGTTAAATATTATTAACGCCTAAAATTAGGCAAAATTAACGCCGTGACAGCTTTGAGTGACAAGTAGGTGCCATCTGCTGACAAGGCGACAATTTTGGTTAGGTAACATAAACATGGCGTAACCCCAGATTAACAGACTAAAGGTGTAGCTGTACCTGTAGCTAGTTTGTGTGTTTTCAGTTTGTAAAAGTTAATTGTAATGTTTAGTTGCCCATAAAAAGTCTTGTTCAGCGTTTGGTTGTACTAAAAAAAACCTCTGAGGAGTCTGATGTTCAGTTTTTCAGGAAAAAAGAAAACAGTTATCGCCATCCTCTCGTCCAAATATGGTCACTTCTGGCTCCAAATATTCAAGATGGTGACAGCCAAAATGCCAGACTTGCAGCCCACAAACCAACAGGCAATGTCACAGTGGCTACATCCATTATTTTAAACAGTCTGTGATTTAAACAAATCTATATAATGAGTATGAAGCTGAGTGGTCTGCTCACCTGCGTTACTGAACATCTTGTTCTTCACAATGACCTGGTAGCTGTTCAGGGCCTCTGGGTACATCTCATTGTTTGCATACTGGTTGGCAAGGTTGAGCAAAACCTAGAAATGAAAGAAATATTCATTCATTCATTCATTCATCTTCTAACCGCTTCATCCTCTTGAGGGTCACGGGGGGGCTGAAGCCTATCCCAGCTGACATCGGGCGAGAGGCAGGGTTCACCCTGGACAGGTCGCCAGACTATCGCAGGGCTGACACATAGAGACAAACAACCATTCACGCTCACATTCACACCTACGGACAATTTAGAGTTATCAATTAACCTAGTCCCCAATCTGCATGTCTTTGGACTGTGGGAGGAAGCCGGAGCGCCAGGAGAGAACCCATGCTGACACGGGGAGAACATGCAAACTCCGCACAGAAGGGCTCCCACGCCCGGGATCGAACCGGCAACCCTCTTGCTGTGAGGCGAGAGTGCTAACCACCACACCACCATGCCGCCGAAATATTCAATATTTCTAAATTTAATAATGAATAATAAAAAGGTTACGATGTGAGGAAGTGACTCAGAAGCTAACTTTTCATTTAATTCGTTTCCTGTGAACTGTGCCCACATAGCTGAGAGGTTAGTCCACTGCGTCCGAGGCCAAACATGTGCTCAGCTGCTGTGGATCAATTTCTGCCAGATACTTTGTTTACTGTGTCTCTCCATTTAACATTAAAATAACTAGAAGTCAATTAATATGAATGAGAAGAAGAAATACATTTCCAACAGTCTTTTAAAAAGTATTAATAAACATCACTGTACGTACAGTAATTAAATACATAAAGGCTATATATGCCATCGTCAAGAACAATCAGAGAGAGAATGCACCTTAACATATGATGTAGCTGTGAGTAATATACTTCTGAGGCACTTTTGAGTGGTGATTAACACATGTCTTGTTCCAGTTTGAAACTGGCAAATCTCAGACAATGTCACGTCACAACTAAATACAGTGTATTGTCTTATTCTTACATAGCCACCATACTCCAGAAAGATGAAGAAGATGGACAAGCTGAGCAGAAAATTTATTTGGCAAAGTAAATCCCCAAGGGTCGCTTTTAAATAAACTGACCCTAGATTATGCAAAAGGAGGATTAAACGCCCTAATTTTTGACTGTATTATTTGGCAGTACAATCTAGATTTTTAGAGGGGGATCCCTCACTTTCATGGCTGAACATTGAAAGGCTGGAAATGAACAAGCGCAGTCTGTTTGATATTTCACATAAATGGGATGGAAAGTTTGAAGTTTGACGTACTTCCTGTAATCCTTGTTCACTCAGTCCAAACTTGGTTTAAAATACACAAGATGCTTGGGCCAAGTTTTCAGCCTCCCAAGACTCCCTTGTGGGAAAATAGGCTTATTCCTATCCTGTACCAGAATAAAAACTTTGATTCTTGGCATAACATTGTTAACATTGGAACATTGTTATATGGATGGAATATTAATTTACTTCTAACAGTTAAAGGAAAAATATCAATGATCTGACAAAGATTTCTTGTAACACTTACAATTAAGACATTTTATAAGGGTAGACCTCCAAAGTGAGTGGAAACTACCCAACATGTCACCAATCAAACCTTGTTTTCGTGATGGTCAACCAATGCAGGGAACCATCTCTTAGGTTTATGAAGCCCTGCTACCTTTTATCTCAATTTCTGAACTGTAAAGATCTTAGGTGGGGGAGGGATTTAGATATAGAGACTGATCCTGCACTGTGGAGAGACCTATGTAGCAATGGTGTTACTTGTGCACTAAACTCAAGATATAGATTAATTCAATTCAAATTTTCTTCATGAGATGTACCTCACCCCTTCCAAGCTTCATGGGTTCAACCTCCTATTTCTCACCCCTTTGCTTTAGATGTGGCCTGGCTGAGGGCAATCCACAATCCATGGAGTCACACTTGGCTATTGCCAAAAAATGTATTAGTTACATTTTATTTGCATTAAGTGCCAATTTATTTTATTGTCTGTTCATTTATTTTGAAGCATCCGTAATGTAAAATTGGTGTTTGTGTAATGTCAATTTTTGACTGATTATGAAAAACTAATTTATTTTTATTTATTTTTTTTAAAGAGACGAAGAAGGTGGATTGAGGGCCAGTGGATTTGCCAAATAAGGAAAAAAGATTAAAGCACTTGATCACCAAATATCTCCTCACACACTCCATTTATTGAATCACAAATAACTAAGATTGCAAAACAACAACAGGTGATATTAGTCACTTAGTAACTAATAAAAAAACAGGCTTAAAAATGTGTTTTTATGTCAGAGTGCAGCAGGTAAATATTTAGTCATTTCATTTACAGACACTAGAACAACCTTTGATATACAGCAGCTTTACTTACGGAGTAGGTGAGGTCTAAATTGATGTGGTCCGCATTGCCAGACTGTTCCCTCTGTCTCACCAGTGCTCTCTCCTTCCTCCCCGCCTCTTTGGCTTTTTCAAGAGCCTGTAAGCACATCAGTACCAGAACATAAAATAGGGAGACATGCACATCGTCCACACAAAGACACAAAGAAACAAACACAGTGGTGACACCAGCAGCCACATCCAGAATGAATAATAGTACAGGCCAGTCAAATGTGTCAATGACAAATATTGTTCATTTGTCAAGTCAGATTTTCAGAAAGCATTGGGTTGCTTCAATTCTAAATCAATCCAGTAAATTATAGCAGATTTTTAATACTATGAGAAGGGCGAGAAACTTGAGATTTTGGCCACCTTCTTTAGGTTTATCAGCTTTGGCAGGTGAGCCAACAACTTTATTACAGAGTTGAATTAGGTAGAAAACATAAGGCGCCCTTGACGATACAATTTAACCTGATACTCATTCCAGTGTGCGGGAGTACAGAGCTGACACCATGAAAAATGAATCAGTGCCTCACTTGGAGGTCCTTCTTTTCAAATCCACACAGCTATTGATTTACTAAACAGCCTGTTAAAGACTGACAGAGTCTGACCAACTGTAAGGCTCCCATGCTCTGTGCCATGCAGCTCTCTTCTATCAGGTCGTTCACTTTCTTCTCCAGAATCTTGATCTTCTCTTCAGGCCTGAAAGACCACAGACAAAGAAACACAACAATGTGTGATACTGCTGCTCAAGCTTTTCCCTACCTGCTGCACAAGATACTAGTGTCATCACAATACTGACATTTCTAACTTTGATACAATACCTTGAAAAATATCGTCATTGGATACCATTTTCAATAACATAGGGAAAAATGACATTGAGGGCATAAAATGTACATTCTTTATTTAAAAAAATCTAATTTAACAAGGCTGTTCTTTTCTTGGGTAGTGGCAGTGAACAGCAGAATGAATGTATTACACATTAACAATAAGAAGGTGAAGGGCACATAGGTAAGCTCCAGGTAATGGGAATCAGGTGTGCAGAACAGGAAGCAGTTTTTGACCGTGTTATGGAGACATGTTGTGAAAGCATGAAGTATTGGTGTGTAAAACTGAATTTGCAGAATGGAATAATGATTACATATGGACAGTGCTGTTGCCCCTCTATATTATGGTGAGCATGTGTATATTGTATTGACAATAAATGGATCACCAAACCCAAATAGATAACGCACACTGGACATGGTTTATTCTTAGCTCAGAACATGCATACAGAACAAGTTCACCCATTGGCCCCTGAGTGGCTTGTTCAGATTTGATCAGAAAGTCACTACGATTTAAGTCAAAAACTGGTTGGTTTCCATTCCACACACCTGATTCCCATTACCTGGAGCTTACCTATATGCCCTTTACACATGAATGCTCCACCCTGTGTTCAGTTTAATAACTGCATATGTGTATTTATATTTACCTTGTATCAAAATAAGAATAAAATGAAAAGAAAAAAAAACTATATTATAGCTCCAACAGATATCTCTGACAAAACTACAAGTCAGTCTTAACAAAATGTTAAAAGAGTTACAGAACCCTAAATGTGTTGGATTTATTAGTTGGTTGTAAATAGGGGTGTCAAATGTGAAGCACTTTGTGAGTCCTCTCTGTGAGAAGTGCTATATAAATAAAATTTACTTACTTACTTACAAATTATTGCGTTAATTGCGAATAATTAATTACAGCCATATTTAACGCGCTATGTTTTTTGATCGCATTAATCTCATTTTTAATCTCTAACTTTACTGTTTCTGTATGCCACAGAGTTGCCTTTTATAAAATCCGTCTGTAGGTGTATAATTGGGCTTCTTTGTGCTTGAGTTGTGGGAGAGCTGCAGCGCTACAGAGCAGAGCCCAGCATCAGCATTGACTGTCCCCTGCAGTGGTGGTCTGTTCACTCAGGAGCCTATGAAAGGCTGTCTGCCCTAGCACGCAAGTATCTGACCTCACCGGCAACCTCTGTGTAATTTTCGGGACAATCAGGGCAGGATTACACTAGAGCAGAGTCTGGAGTAGTTATTGCCCGATAAAACATTAAAAAGTGATCATGGTGGTTGAGTTGTCATGCATTTCCCACCGGCTGCACATTGGCTGCAGCAGTTCCGCAAGTTGCAGCCACAAGGACAGGGAAAAGAGAGAAGGAGTGATTTGCACGTTGCAGTGCAGCCTCTTGTTCTAACTGTTCAAAACTGTTCTATAAATTGATACAGCCGTAACGAATGTACCAGGTGTCTTTTAATTTGTTAGCTTTTATTTTGTATTAAGTTTAAAGGACAAGTGCACTTACATTGATCACTTCCATGAAATAAAACGAGAAATTGGAAAAGAGGAAAATAATTTAGAAAATTGTTTAAATAAAATTAGGGAACTGATCACAGATGTGTTGTTTCTGTGTGTTTTTACATCTATTGTTGCGTTAATCTGCAGCTATGCTTTTAATGAAGCTGACATGTCATGACAGTCAAGCATCCCCCTGGTGGTCAAGACTGAAGGTTGCAGCACTCTTTATTGGGACTAATCTCAAAAACAATAGAATGTAATGGCTAGGTGTTCTGCATCTGTGTTCAAGTGTGTTATTGTTGAAAATAATAAATATGACTTTATAAAACCACTTTTTGTAATATATATCAATCTTTTGATCATCTGCCACAATAATGTAATGAATTTAAATGAAAATACCTCAAGTTGAGGGCTTTTCTCAGCAATTTTGAGATGAGATTAAAAAAGAGATTAATTAGATCAATTAATTACAGATCATAATTAATTAATCTCTCCATTTTTTAATCTCTTGACAGCACTAGTTGTAAATATATTTTGTTTTATATTCATTTATGTATTTTTGAGGATATGACAATTATATATGTTATTATGACTAATAATATGCATCTCTTCATCCTAATTCTAATAGATGTGACACAGCACCTATAAATACCTCTGTACAGGTCTTTTCCTTAACACTGCTGAGAGGAAAACACTTACTGAGGATGATGCAGAGATAATCTTATACAATGAAACAGTTTAAAGAGTGACTACTCACGTGTCCTCATTCTTTGCTTCAAGTGGAGGTGCAGGGCCCCTGGACTGACCCAGAGGGTCAAAGGTTGAGCCTGAAAATACAAATCACACTAATAATTATACTTTATTGTTTACATGATTACAGTCTGTCCTTACAGATACACACAGAGGTTCATATGAATAAAAAGAGCTAAATTCTTTCGCGTTTTTGAAGCTTAGAACCAATAAAAACAACAAATAACATCCTGCTTCCTGCTGCTGTGTCATGCTGACACATCCTTTCCACAACTGTCTATTCCTAAAGAACCATATCCACAATGCTGACACAACAAAAATGAGCAGCCACAGAAACGCAAGCTAAATCACAAACATGCAGTAATCTAAATCAACACATATAGAGCAAGAATGAATCACTAAAGCAGCTGTGATAGACTAGTTCTGTTGTGTTTCTCTTTAACTCACCACGGGTCATGGAGGAGGTGTAACCTGCTGCTCTGACAGCAGTCATCGGTCGGGCAGCTCCATCCTGACATGTTTTAAAACAGCAAAAAAAAAAAAAGAAAAAAAAAGAAAAAGAAAAAAAAGGAAAAATTAGAGAGAGCTTCCACATGTGCTACATTTTCACAATTGTCTTCACAAAACAGAGCTATTAGTTTGTTATCGAGCTTTGATTAAATACATGATACTGGCAAGTTGTGAAAATACAAATATTTGTAAAATCACAAGTTAAAACTCTAATAAAACCTCTGATGCTAGTGAGTAAATGAGATGAAGTGCTTTTAATGAATGTATCATAGGACCTTCAGTCCCCCTCACCTGCACAGCTCCAGTCATGGGTCTGCCGATTGAAGAGGCCATGGGGATCCGCGCCTTCATCAAACAATAAGTAACAATAAAACAGGTGAGAATAATTTAGGTATGTTTACCTCACAATATCATTTATCACAAAGTTATGAGATAGAACCATGCTCATTCATAACAGTGTACATTTGAAATGTTCTTCATCTTGGTTGTTGTGAGTGTATGATGATTCTTTATCCTGCAAAATGTTTTCATGCAGCTGCATCATTTTCAGCGGCACACTTTGACACCTACTGTACGTACTGCTAAATTTATTTATTAATTTGTGTCATTTTTTTTTTTTACAAAAAACTCTGTGGGGATGAGAATGTTCGTTTGATGGGCTGATTCAATAAAAGTCTTGTGTGTGCAGGAATCCTTTTCACAAGATAACATGAGCTGCAAGTGCTGCTGGTCTGACATAAAATGACGCCAGTACATTGTACTTACTCCAAAAGAAGAAGCCAAAGGCCGAGCTCCAACAGCAGTGCCAGGAAATTTGGCAGTCATCTGGATAATTAAAGACATGACATTTGTGTTATTAAAAATAAAAACTGAAGGCCAAAAAGATGAGCTACTGGTGATAGCAGTCAATGCAGCATGTATGTCATTGTCTAGTCTACAATGCTGTCTTTCTAATATGTGATAAACCTTCTTAGACAAGTTTTGCTGGGTTTAAATACTTACACATTATATAATGAATAGATAATAAGACCCTGCTAGGACCCAATGACACTTGTTGCTGTGACAGATGATAAACTGCCTTTGTACTTAGAAGAAATCATGTTAACATAGTTATATGTGGCAATACTCCTAACCTGGGGGTGAGGCATTTTTCTTTTTGATGAGTTTTGTTGCATTATCCCCACCACTGGCAGTCACCATCTTTCTCAGCTCAGCTGCCCATTCCACCAGTAGACACTGACCTCTAGTGGTGCTCGCTGTGCACTACAATACATCGCCTCAATACCCAAGCAGTTCCCTATCAGTCAGAAATACTTTACTGATCCCCGAGGGAAATTTGTGATCTGTTACAGTTGCTCCGATGTAAAGAATAGAGCATTATAAGATGTAAGAATAATAGTAAAAAAAAAAATAAAAAAAAAGAAGTATGTAAATATAAGGCAGTAAATTAAAAACAAATTAAAGAAAATGTGCATTAAAAATAAAAATAAAATGTGAATTACGCTAGTGTTTCACACCAGTACTTAATATATTAAAAAAATCAAAAACAAAACATATCATCACTGTGCTGAGGATGTGTGAAAATTTTAACTACAATACAGAATAAGAGTACAGTTATGTGTATTGTATGTTTATTAGTTATTAATTACTTTTTAAAAAATTGTTGTTATTTTGTATGTTTATTACTTTACAAGAAAGAGAAGCATCAGAATTTTTTAAGGTGTTGAAATTCATACTGTCGGGTTTTCTCAATACTCCGGTACACCTTAACACCTTGAAACCACCAAAGCCTACTTGAACCTGAATTTATCCTTCCTCTGCAGTGGTGGAAAAAGTATTTGATCTTTTGCTTGAATAAAAGTTACACTACCCCAGTACAGAAAAACTTGGTTAAGGGTAAAAGTTCTGTTCATCACATGTTAGCTATTTTGCACATTTTCACAGCCTCTTCCTCACTTCTCACTGTGTTGTGTATATAACTGATCTTCTTTGTTTACTCCTGCAGTTTTCATATTTTTATTTTATTCCTGTATATTTCTCGTGTATATTTTAAACTTTAGTATTATTTTTTTGTATATATATTTCTATCTTCTCTTATATTTTATTTTTTATCTGTTATGTCTTCTCGTATTTACATGTATATTACTGTGCACATACTGTTTGATTACTTGCTGCTGTAACACAAGAATTTCCCAGTCTGGGATCAATAAAGTAATACCTATCTATCTATCTATCTATCTATCTAGTACTCATAATACATAAATGAACCATTACAGTATAATAATGTGATTATTGCTGCATTAATGTATACATCACTTCTTTTAGTTGCCGCTGATAAAGGTGGGGCTAATCTTGGTAACTTTTATTACTGCTGAGAGTCGTAACATATAATACCATATCATAATTTAACAGTCAATTTATATTTCATAATAATAATAATAATAATAATAATAAAATCTGTAAAGTAACTACTCTAAATAATGGTGGGTACTCACCGGGGGTCTTCTCCCATGACTTGTTCTCACTGCTTGCTGGAAGCCCACATCATTCTCCAACTCCTTGAAATTAATCAATAATGAGTTTTTATTCATTACATACCAATACAACAGTAGACGTAGCAAATTAATCATTTCAAATATACTTGTGTTGACGATTGCAAATGGCTCTGAGCTCTGCCAACTTCAGAGCTAAGTTAGCTAGCGTTAATATAACATTAGCACAGTCGCTAACTCACCTCGGAGTCAAATGTCGGATTATAGTCGTTGTAACCCGAATAAAGATCCTCCTCCTCCACCGCCAGATGTACGTTTTCCATCTCTCCTTCTCCGGTGAGGTGGAATAACGAAACACTTATAAATATGGAAAACACTTGGTTATCTACCGGAGATAACGGCGCAGCTAGTTTGTTGTCGTTTCAGGATTCCATCCCACAATCCAATGCGACGTGGGTGGGACAGTTACAATTCTAAAATCTGATTTGTCATTTACGCGTCAATCATCAATCAGCTTTGACACAATTGGCTGAGGATGAGTTCTGCCGTTGCTAGGATACAGCCGTAAGACACTTTATAGATTTTGGTTGTTTCTTCACGTTTTCGCCTTTAACAGTGTAAATATAACTTTTGATAAACAGTAACAGCTAGATTAAATGGCGGTAATGTGTTTTGTGTTTTTTTTTTTTGTTGGAAAATACATTATGTTGCACTTTTTGGAAACTTATTTGGTCCTTCTAGCTTACCGTACCGATATATAGCCGTGTGACCATGAGTGTAACTGTGCAGGGGAGGTGGGCAGTTCCGATACAAGTTGTGAAAGGTTTGTTACAGCTGATCTCATAACGTTTTAAAATGAGCTCTTCTGACATGAAGATAATTACTGTGATCGGCAGGTAAGCAAGAAAAGACGCGTACATGATGTTTGAACTCAAGTTACTGATGAAGTGCATTTTGTTTTGCTTGACCTTAGTTACTTTACATTTTTTTATAGGTTACTGATTGCATTGCATTGATTGGCATGTTAGCTAACTAAGATATTCCCTGACCTCTTGTACTTTATCGTGATACCTTGCTTCTGTAGACAACGTTTGACTCACTCTATGAGGTAGTTGCACTGAGGCTCCACTCTTTGTGCACATTTTAACTTGTCTGCACCCTGTTCATTATTTCTACACACTCAGCTGAACTTTGCAGTCCTTTGCAATGACCCCCCCTTAAACCTGGAATGTAAATAGTAAAAGTCACAGCCAAATATTCTCTCCTCTTTCCTTGAATTTGCATGGGAACTAAGTTCACAACCTCCCAAACCTGAATTTCTACATAACGGTGGATGTGCTTAAATGAGTAACAGCAAAACCTGCAATGATTTTGTTGTTTAACTCAAACCCCAGTGTAGGGAAGGAACAGTAAACTGCTGGGAATTGCAAAAAGAGACAGGCATAGCAAGAGAGATACTGCAGCATAACATTGTTGTCCATGGAGGAAGTGATGGTGCAGACACATCATAGCAATGAGCAAAGAAGAAGACCAAAAAAAAGACCAGGCCAACTGTGACATTAAATGTTCAAATGTTTTAATACAGTCCACTATTTGTTAGTACATCCTAAAAGTGTATTTGTGTGTTTCAGTGGGCTGATAGGCCGCTCCTGGACCATGGTGTTCATCAGTGGAGGCTACAAAGTGAAGATGTATGACAACCAACCAGGACAGGCTGGCAAGGCTCTCACAGAGATCAGGTCAGCCGAACGACACAATACTGCAGTCTTTGTCCTGCATAAAAGACACTGTGTAATGCAGTCTTAAGTAATGTAGCATTCCATGCACTGTCCATAGTTATTAACACGCTCTAGTCAGCCTGATTACAGGCCTGTTGGAGAGAGGACTTAGCATCAGCCGGGTCGAGAAACTGTTGATGTTGTGCGCCTGTGTAAAGCCTGTTGAGACGATGCAACTAATAAACTTACATGACCTGCCCAGATGTCCTGGATAAGACTGAGTGAAGTCTGAAACTATGTTGTGTTTACTTGTGATTTCTTAGTCGTCTGTTCTGGAATCATCTTCTGATAGGTAGAGAAATGTTTTCATTATTTTCTTTTGTGATGTGTTATTGCATATGTACATGCCTCATACATTAACCCAGTGTTTCCCATATATTGATTTATTTAATCTTATGTTATTGGAGAGTTGTGTGCAGCATATTTGCTCAGCTCGTCCCTGCCCTGCATTCTCTCTCTGTCTATCAGACCACAAATGAGACAAGAATTGGCTAGCTAGCCACTCCACCACCCATTTGCCCCGCTCCCTGTCTCTGTGGACAGCTTACCCGGGAGGAGAGCAGGTAGTACCTTGTGAGATGGACCTTGGGTCAGCGGCTGTAGTCGCTTTGATTCGGCCAGGCTTGGTGCCACAGTGGGCTGATGGTCAGCGGTAGTGCTAGGTCTAACCTGTGTATCAGCAGCAACAGAAGGTTTGCTGATCCGGTGGGGAGTCATGACTGCCTGGTCTCCTGGAACTGGGGTTTGCACTAGCTGGATTTGAGTTGCTGCGATTGCTGACTAGGGATCCTTCTCCGGAGCTGCTGTCCGCTCTTTTCTCAGGGAGTTGGTCTGTAGCAGTGGAAAGTGAGGCGGAGGACTTACTGGGATTCAAGGCTCTGGCTAATGTTAGCTACATAAACGTGCACCTCAGAAATGCTTCGCTAATATTGACATGTTTTTTTTTCTTCATTCATTGTCAGACTCTCTTTTAGACTCTCTTTTTGGTAATTTGTCTTCCTTTCTTGGGTTGCTTTGCAGCGTAGGCAGTTGTTACCAATGCTAGACTAGCAACCGTCTTTTCGAGATTCTCCATTGAATCAGGCTTTCACTAAAGGGACCTGCACGCACATCTGCATTTGTAGAACAGCCAATAGGAGCGCCCTCTCTCTGAGATGACTTGTGATTGGCCAAAGTCTCCCATCAGTAACTCGATTATCTAAAGTCTGCAAACAGAGCCAAGAGGAGGTGCAGAAGTCTAGTTTTCTCTCAGACAACTTGAATGCCCACCACAGCTTTAAAGGACTCCCAGTCAGAGTGGAACTGCTTTTGCCCTCATACACAGAGAGTAATCAGTTTAATGTGTTTTTCTGAGGAGATATTGGACAATATATTGAATATAGCATGTACCAACAGTAGATCACACTCAGACTAAGATGATATTCAGTTTTGGGTCGACGTTTGTAACTCTCTAGAATATGATGATCAGCATTTGATGGTGTGCATTACAAACAGTTTGCTGCCTTCCTTAGCAGGAGATTTACATTCCTCTGTCTTTCCAGTCAACAGGAGTGTGTGGCTGCAAAGCATGAAGGGGACATTAACAAGGTGTATAGATAGACTCTGTCCAACATATAACCTGTTCTTCCTTCCAGTGCTTCCTTGAAACAACACGTGGGCATTGCATGATCAGTGACTTCCTCTAGGAACAAAAGGACAAACGTGTTCAGGCCTAAAAAGTTTTTCACAGCCCAGTGATCACTAGTTAAACATTACTGTGGAATGACAAAGGGCTTTTTGTGAAAACAAGAAAAAAAACTAATATGAAGAAGCTCTGCAGCCCTTCAAACTTTAAAGCAAACCCAAATTCCATGCCAAGATGTTACCAATTTAACTTTGATTTATCTTGTGCATATGTTTGCTGCCTCTGGTGCTGTCACTGTAACAGTTCAGTTGCCTGTATGAACAGTAGATGGTGTCATTGTTTTGGTTTTCAGTTTCCCTTTGTGTTTGATTTCTTGCTGAACAAGCTGAGAGGAGTGTCTCTACTCAACACACCCAGTTTTAATAAAGTGTTACTCACTTTACACCATGTTTATGTTAACAAATGTAGTCATGGTCTGGCATGTCACTGACTTATTTGATCGTGTAAATGATGTGCTGCTACTGTGCAACTCTTGACCAGCAGCCAGTTAGTTGAGGTTTGTGTTTTGGCTGGTAAACCAACCTGACAACATTCAGGGTCTACCCACAAACATAATTGCAGTGTTTTTGGTGAGTGTTTCACTCATGTGTTGGCTCAGGAAGCAGCTGGGGGACCTGGAGGAAGCCTGTATGCTGAGAGGAGAGCTGAGCGCCACGCAGCAGCTCGCCCTGGTCAGCACGTACGATGACCTGGCTCAGGCGTTGGAGGGAGCCTTCTTTGTTCAGGTGACACACGAGACCACGCCCAGCACTGGCACTTGTTGAACCACACATGCTGGAATCAGGAGAGATTGGTTTCTGCTGATTTGTATCGTTCACTTGTTCGTCCATCACACATTTAACACGGTGATGAAACTTTGTTTGCCGTCACTGCAGTGTGGGTAACTAAATACATTTACTTGAGTATGTACTAAGTACGTACAATCTTGAGGTACTCGAACTTCTTTCGGGTATTTTCACTTTATGCTACTACTGTTTCAGAGGGAAATATTGTACTTCTTACTTCACTATATTTGACAACTTAAGTTACCTTTAACATGAAAAACACATGTTAACAAAGAACAACACCGAAATACTCTTACATGTATTATCTGTAATAAAAGCAGAATACTAACATTTTCTATAATGACTATTGTGTTATGATCATAGACTGTATGAATAATGGATGTAGCTACTGTGAAGTCACCACAGGTTTGTGGACTCGTTTTGAAGCCTTGAGTCTGGCACTTCAGCTGAACGGCTGAAGTCGTCTCCATCCTTGTTTTTTGGAGCCAGAAGTGACCATATTTGGACAAGAGGGTGGAGCTTACTCTAACGGTAGCTGCTGGCTTGATTAGCACGATGTATTCACAGTCATGGTTAATTGCCATCATGCTAATGCTAATTTTTGTTAGCTAAGAACAGGCTTAAAACCATTAAGACAAAATAAACTTAATGGAAAAACTGAACACATTTCTACTTTTATTTGAGTAAAAAAATCTGAGTACTTTTTCCACCAGATGTATGTAGTGTGTGACCCAATGGAAATTCTGCAAAGTTAATTCATTCATCACATGCATTCAATCATGTACCTTAAATCAAATTTTGTTGTGATTACAGTAATCTCAGTACAGTATGTTCAGTATGTGTATTTTCAAAAGAACCACTGATTGGCCTTAAGGGGGCGCAACATCATTGTTTAATACTGACAGTCCGCAATACCCCAGACACCCCTGATGACAGTTTGAATAAACCTTAAAATACATCTCACCACTGAGCGCCAGCATTTTGCAAAGTTTAGACTGTTTCCCCCTTTGTGGATTTTATTCTGTATGTAGTAAAGTCAGTTTTAATGTTTCAGACAGTTATGTGTGACAGACTACTCACTGCATGTTATCTGTCACATATCATGACTGTTTACCATGGTCATTATGATTGACTTTGGATTGTGCCTGTCTGTAATGTAGCCTTGCTTTCTAATACTTATTGAGGTCATCATACATTAAAGGAATACTTCACCCACAAAAGGATAATTTGTACATCAGTAACTCGCCCCATGTTCTGTTGAATCCATGAAGAAATTGTTGTTTTTCTTGCATGCCTCCATGATGAACGAAGAATCCAAAAACAGAGCAAATTATTGATGAATTAAAGTAAAAGGGGGCCACATTTAACAACAGCAAAACTATATCAAAACATCTGTTTACAGACTCTCACACAACTATCTAAGGCCTTCACTCTCAAAAACATTAGAGTTGACACTCATAAGAAAGTCTCCACCCAAATGAAAACGCAAAATAAAACTGATGTGCAGTCAAGAGCATGTCTACCAACATGTGCCGATATACTCATAACTCTAAAGCCACACAAAGAAGAAGAAGAGTCAGAGGCCTAAAAAAAACTATTACTGAAAGGCTGGCTGCAGTGACCTCTGTGGTGCATTCTGGTGCTTCTGTTCCTCAATATAGTGGAAGACTAACTGCACATTTATGTGTAAATGTAAAAATTCCTGTTAGCAAGGTTGGAGCCAGCCCTGTTTAAGCCACATTTGTGACACCTCGAAAAGAAGATAATGTTGCACACTCTGACGTTACAAGTCCAAAACTTTGTTATATGTGTCAACACGTCAACACTGAACACTGAAAATTTTGGCGAATGTTGGGCAGTTTTGCCGGCAAGCTGCAAATGTTTAGACACACAGAGCTGGATTGGCGAGTTGATCCGAAGTGCCCAATTTTCTGTCTCTTAGGGTAGTCGTATTGGCGGAACCTTTTTGGTTTAAAAAGACAGGCAGCCTCCCGCCACAGGAGGGGTTGTTGATGACTTGTGGGAGGAGCTGTTGATGACACCGCACATGCAAGCCACTGGCGGTGGATAAACAGGAAACAGCTGATAGCAGGAATGAGCAGCTAGTAGCAAGAGGGAAATGCAAACCTGACAGACACTGTAAAGATGAGCAACTGGGGAGACAAAGAATTGCGCGTCCTCCTTGCCCTCGCAAACGAAGAGGCCATTAACCCTCAAATGACGGGGACAACGAAGGACAAGCCAACTTATGAGAGAATCACAGAAGGACTGACCAGCTGCAGCTTCCCTCAGAGCACGTCACTGTTTACGTCACACACTGAGCTACACGTTTTGTTACTTGCTCACGTCCCCCATTGCCCCGAAAAAGGCGCATTCTGTATGAACAAAAGTAGGTAGGCGGCATTTTGCTGCACTCCCCGATTTTGTTTTTATACTGCCAATGCTGAAAAAACACTGATTGGGCTTTCCTGCAAATTTGCACAATTCCTATCTAAAAGGGGCTAGAGTTTATGAGAATCTGGACAGTTTTACTGAAAAATCTGTTAGTTTGCATGTGAACAAAAGGCCAAATTGCATAGAAAAAGCTACGTTTAGAAAAATACCTGTGTACATGTAGACAAGGCCAGAGTCTAATTTATCCAGTCGTTTGCTCAGTTCTTACAAAACGTGATTTTTGTGAAAACCATCCTAGGTTTTTAATCGTAAAAATACATATTTGTGGGAAACACTGAGCATGTGACTGCACAAATGAGACTTGAGCCCTTTTCTTTATACAGAGAGACTTTGCAATAGGGCCACTAAGAAATCCCTTCTTCACACTGCTTTGCATTTTTACACAGAACCAAACATCAGTATGTGATTTTAGACAGCATGCTGGCATCGTGGAAGTAAAAAAGACGTGACGGTTGTGACATATAACGCAACAGCGTCGCTAATGTGCCATATAACAGGTATATAAAGTGTTGGCAGCACTTTAAAAACAATAACAATGGTATGACATGGCAAATACAACCATTTACTGTCTCTGTTATATGGCGGCTGATCTCGTCCTCTGCTCAGAGGGTTAGGAGCTCCTGGACCTCATTGTCTCTCCAGTTTGCAGCTGCTGTTCCTCTTTTTTGAGTTAGCTGCTAACTGCTATTTGCCAGTTTGTCATGCACATAACACCTCCCTCAAATGTCACACCTGTCCTGTCCATGATCCCGTCCCACTGGCCGTCCCTTTTACACAGATGTCGATTCGGCACCGTTATTACCTCTGTTGCCCCATGCTCTTTTTACCATATTTTCTTAAAAATAAAAAACACATAAAATCATTCTTGTCAAGTCTTTGTCTTCTTTGTGTAGCACTCTGCATTGAGCAATTTGATTGGCTGTTAAACATTACAGGAAACAGTTATTTCACCACTAAAATAAGACAACAAATTACTTTCTCTGTCGCAGCTACGCATATACTGTAAACAAAACTGACACAGTAAAAATGGAACCAAATGTTTTCCAAAAATCTGATTTTTCCAGTCGAGCCCTCGGCCATTCGAAATGATTTAGATTCTTCATCACTGGTTCAGAAACACAAACAGACCCGGAAGAGTTCATTGGAGTCACCAGATCAATCACAGGAGAAGACGAAAACCCTCTTAGCAGGAGGCATTTTTTTAAGTTTCTTTGACACCCAGTCTGGAACAGTCGCTGACTGAAAGAGAACTCTGTTCCTCCATTTTGCCATTGTACCTTTTCTAAAGAAGAGCAAGGCGGAATAATAGCAAAACATTCCCACCATAAACTGGCAGTGTAAAAGGGACTTTCGATTATACAGCAGTTATGTGAGAGTTTGTAAATCAATGTTCTGATACAGTTTTGCTGCTGTTGTTAAACGCTGAGTCCAATTCATTAAGAATTCCCAACAAAACAAAGTTTTCTTCACAAATTAAACATAACATTGGGTGAATACCTGATATATAAGTGATCATTTTGTGGATGAAGTGTTCCTTTAACTGTTTGGCTCATCTTTATTACATTATGCCCTAATGTTCTCTAACTACCTGAATATACTGTATCAGAGCTTTCCATGAGCAGTCTGTTACATAAACTAACTAGCGAAAGACAAGCTTTCCTTTGACAAGAGCTTCAGGACGAGGTTTCAGTACAAGAGGGGCCCCGCTGCTGAAATATAACAATTTAACATCGAGTCACTCATCTCATCTTGTCATGTTAAGAACTCAAACATCCTGAACAATGGACATTTGCTCGTCCTAACACAGTCACATTTAACACTTGAAAAAAAAAAGAAAGTTGACCTCTTAAGCTGGAAAAATGTCATGCATGCTGCAACCGTGACTGTTTAAACAGACAATAGTGCTTTGTGTCACAGGGATGGTGATCAGAACACAGCAGAGACAGGTAGGGCCAGAATAAATCAATACTCTGCACTGAGTCCATCCAACAAGGAACAATAGGGGACTTATTAGAAACAGGGAAATAACAAGTAGGAATATGCAGAGTATTCCTGTTCAGATAGTCAGCCTCATGTTTCCTGATACCATGACACCATCTGATGCAAATATCACCCTGGTGCATGTACCCTGAGAACAGCAGTTTGTCTCAGTCAGATTTGTTGCTCAACATATCAATAGGCAAGACAGGTGTATTTATAAAGTACATTTCAGCAACAAGGCAATTCAAAGCTTCAATGCGTGCTTTACATAAGACATCAAAAGCCTCAAGACAATGTGCAAAAGAAACATAAAAGGATATCTAGATACAATTTAAAAACACCATTACAGAGATGGAGAACAGAAAATTAAAACCTAAAATTACTTGCAGCTGTAAACCTCTATGAACCAGTCAAGTTACAGTTACAGTTTACACCCATACCAGAGTCTTATGAAGCCATGACAGCATCAAGGTGGACACCTAAGATTAGTGTCACCAATTCAGTATCTGACCAAATGTCTCCCCTTCTGTTCCTGAGATATGATGTTGAGTAATGGCCAGAAAAGCAGCCACTACCACCAGTTTCTTCTCCATTGTTTATTAACTGTAAACTTGTTGTTGTGACCACCACAGAAGACCTGCCTCTCAAATCATCAGATTGGGCGATGCGAAAAAAGCGGCGATGACGTAGGGTATTGAAGTTTTGAAGTTAAACGCTGCTTCCTCATGTTTAGTCTTGACTCTGAGAACAAAAAGCAGACCTGTCCGAGATGACCTGAGAAGTCTCGATGGTTCATAGTGTAGCAGAAGGTCAGAAATGTATTTGGGCCCTAAACCATTTAGTGCCGTAAACCAGCGGTAGTATTTTTGAAATCAATTCTCTGAGAGACAGGAAGACGGTGTAAAGACCTCAGAACTTTAATTATTAAGTACTAATGTGGCCAAGCCAAAAATTCTTGGTGAAGTCATGGACTCAGACCTGAATTTCAAGAGCAACAGAAAGACAATTACAAAGTCAGCCTACTATCAAGGACATATCAAGGATAAAAGTACTCATGTCTCCGCAGGATTTGTAAAAACATGCATTCATATTCAGTAGACTCGACTGCTTTAACAATGTTTTTACAGGTCTCCCTAAAAAAATGATCAAACAGCTGCAGCTGACTGAGAACGTGTTCAGTGCACTCTGAAGTTAATCCTTACCAGCCTTACTGAGGGAAGAGTACATGGCATACTATCGGATCGTATATAGACTACATTACCACTCCTTGCTTTCCTCACCACTGTCTATATGTATCCAGACAGGAGTCTAGGAATCTATTGTTTCCCTGTTTGAGGAGGAGATATGATCTGCTACAAATCAAAACATAATCTTAAAGAGGCAGTGAGTGAAATAGCCAATATAAATAACATAATAAAAACAGACTATAGAAATGGAACAGAGGATATAAAATGAGACTTTATAGACTTTATGAAAGGATATAAGTTTAAAGGATTTAAATTTATATAAAGTCTGATCAGAACTTTATGTTCTCTGTTGGTGCTCACATGTTGATGAGTGGAGCATCACTTTATTGCGCAATGCGCATGCATTCAGCAGGTATGCTGCTCGCCCAGCCAGTTATTGCAGTTCCACATACTTGATGACTGCCATTTAAAGAACATATTAACACTCAACTATCACTTTTGACAGCCACTCCTTTTTCCATCACTCTGACAGTGCAGACAATTCAGTAATATACAGTCCAGCCTATAATGGATGGTTAAAAAAGTTCAACTTGAACTTGGTGGATGGTTTAAAAACTTCATCTTCAGCTTGATTGATGGTTAAAAACTTCAACTTGAACTTGATGGATGTTCATAAAAGCTCTAATTGAATTTGATGGATGGTTAAAAAAAAAACACGAAACTGGTTGTATCCGGTTTTAAGCATGTGAGAACAATGTGGCCTTTATCGTATTTATCAGAGTACATTTCCGTAGTCGTACTTTGCTGCTCACCACGGAACAAAATAGGTGTTTATTTAATGTTGTGATGATTACACTTTTTATCTTTGCTATAATCAAAGAAAGACTGATGACAAAGTGTACAAAGTTAAAGGATCGATTCACCTGAGTTAATTTTCTCACTCAGCCTTAGTGGTATTTATCTACATACATACCACTACAGGCCATAGTAATTTCTGGATACAGTAGTATGACGTGTACCTGTTGTGTTGATGTAAGTTTTCATCTTCACTGTCATGCTTCTCTGGTGCTCTGCCAACACTTAAATACTAAGTTACTAATTTAGTGTTTAAATTGGAGGATTGTTTCTGTTATTTTGCAGAAATTTGTAGACTTTCGAAAGTAAAGTTTGAAATGTGGGAGCAGGAACATCAGGGGCCCCATCTTACACCCTTCACAAAGCGACACACAGTGCAGCACAACAGTCATTGTTAATTTAAGACCAACACGGTTGTCATTCTCATGGCAAGTGCCTACATTGTGTAAGTAGCAATTGTATGCGCCCGTGGGCGTGTAGGTCTTGAAATGAAGTGCAGACAGGGGCATTGTTGGTAGATTGCTATTTTGAGGCAGCAGAAAGCGATTGCTCCATTGACCAACAAAAACCTGGTCTAATGTCAGACTGGTTCAGTATTTTCCTACTGTTTAAATGGGGCATTATTCAGATAGTAAAATACGCCTACAGCCTACATAGGCTGGTTCACACATGCTTACACTCAGCTTGTTAAACACAGAGGGACGTGTGGATGGGTTGCAGGTGGGTGAAATAATACATCACTAATGAAGAAAATGTTAATGACATTCTTTAAAATGTGAACATAGCAGAGATCAGAGCAGAGCTGCAGAGCTGCTGTCCGACTCCACATTAAGAGAGACGCTGTGCACATTTATGCACAAGGAGCAGCATAACTTTGATCATTTCAGAAGCTAAAAGTTCAGTTCTGTTTCCTCTGTCAAGTTTATAACTACAGTTTTTAGTTTTTCTGCTCAAATGTCCCTCAATATTTGCTGCAGGGACATTACTGCTCTGACTGCATTACTCTCGGCAGAAAACAGCTTGCTTCCTCTGTTTGCAGAATCCACCATGTAAATGCTTCGGATGCACCCGGTTATACGAGATTCATGTTATACCCAAATACATCTATGATTAATTAAGGGATTACATGCGACTCCTTTGCCCCTAGCGTCTTACTTTAGGCCAGGATTATGTGCTGTTTAACCAGCAGACGTGGAGTTGGACACACCCTAAATGCCACTGCACTGTAGATCATGCACTAAAGATTGTTTAATAGGGCCCAGGGTGTCTGAAGATCCTTAGAACAGCTTAATATATTTTCAATTATATAAATATTAGGCCTTCAAATACATTAAATAGTCTTGAATTTGAATTTGTGAGGTCTTAATTTATCCATCTTTTAGTTTGTCATGTCAAAATAATTCAAGGTGCTCTGCGTCAAAGTCCACATTGCAGATGTTACAAATATTTAAACCTACCACTGAACCTAATACTGTCTTTTTACTTTATACTCGCACTTACCTGTTGGCAAAATGTAGATTAACATAACTCACTCTAATAACCATATTCCTACATAAAACTTACTTCTGCTCAGGACCACATACACTAACCTTAGACTTACCTGTAATGCTTGATTAAGAAGAAGATGATTTGTCTAAAAATTATTCATAAATTTAGTGAGAGAATGTCTTGGAAAGGTCTTAAAGCATTAAATTTAAGGGTCTGATATCTATAGACACCCTGAACATACTGCACTGTGTGTTACAAAGACGTTGGCTAGATGTATTATTTACGCACTGTGTTACACACAGACATGGCGTGGTGGCACATTTTTCTCAATGACTTCACAACCAATAGTGTGCGTCTATGCCTTTGTATATGCATCTGTATGTGATGGATACTGTCCCTTGTATGCATGTGTTTTTCAGGAGTGTGTATTTGAGCAGCTTGAAGTCAAGCAGAACATCTTCCAAGACATCGAGCGTCTTGTGGGAAAAGACGTCATCCTGAGCAGCTCCACTTCCTGTCTGGTGCCAAGCAACGTCTTCTCTAAAGTAGGGAACAGGAGTCGCTGCCTCATCTCCCATCCGGTCAGTGATACTACAGTCCCGGTACTAGTGAATATCAGTGGTGGAAAGTAACTAAGAACATTTACTTAAGCGCAAATTCAAGGTAAACTAAACTTTAGTTTAGTTGTACAAATATTGTACTTTTTACAGTACTACATTTGTCTGTTCGTGTCTGTTTGTGACCCAGCCGCCATGTTGGCAATTTTCTCATTTTACAGCTAAACAGTACACTAAGATATGTTTGTGAAAACATTTGAGGTCAAAAATAGGCAATGCAGTTACAGAATCTTGATTCATATTTGATCAGCACTGCCTAGTTTGACAGTTTGACTGTTCATGAGCTGTGTGTCCGCGCTCTTTCATTGCACCGGTGCACAGCTTAACACATAATGGCGAGGCCCCAGGAAAACTGTTTAAAAGGAGTTTAATTTGTCAGCCTGCAGCAGCTACCACGTAACTGGCAAAAGCCACGGTAGCTTTCTTAGTTGACAAATAATTGGTGCATGGACAGTAATGTTCACAGTATTATTTCATGTAAGCCTGAATGACCTCATCAGTTCTCTGCCATTTTAAGCCCCTTTCCCACCAAACACTTTTGGTATGGTATCGTAGGCCACGTGTGTGGTCTATGGCATACGGTCTGCCGCATCCCCCTTAACCCCCATCTTTACCAAGTGTTTCCAGAGACTGATTCTCTCCCACATCATGGCTGCCCATATCGGACCAACAGATCCACACATAATGTAGTCATAGCAGCGCTTCACACAGCCCTTATTCATTTAGAACAGCAGAACATATGTAAGGACGCTGTATGTGATTATAGCTCAGGATTTAACACCGTAATCCCCCACAAACTGCTCCAAAAATAGAGCAATCTTGGCCTGAACAGTTCACTGTGCTCATGGATACTGGACATCCTGAGAAACAAATCACAAAATGTCAGGATTGGCGGTAATGCCTACTGAACTCTGATCCTTAACACAGGAGCTCCACAGGGGTGTGTTCACAGCCCTTTTCTCTGCTCCCTCTTTACACGACCGTTCCCCCATTCACCTCTCCAAGCTCATCATCAAAATACCCCTTTTACACTGCCTGTTTGAGGCGGGAGTATCGCACTATTAGGCCACTTTGCCTTCAGCAGCCAGCAGTAAGGGCCCATAGGCAGGATGGTTGTGACGTGTTATGCGTGTGACTCAACGCGGGAGATTTTAAAAGCAGCTTGTAGCATTTAGCAGCTAAGAACAGTGGCTGAAAATGTTCACAAATTGGAAAAAACAACGAGGTTGAGATCAGCTGCCATATAGCACACTAGAGGCCGATGCTGTTGTGTTACACGTCACGCCTGTCACGCTTCTTTTGATTCTGCAGTGAAGTCTGCAATCACACACGGGAGCAGCATGATGCCATTGTCATTTGGTTCTGTGTGAAAATGCAAAGGAGGCACAAGGGGACCTTGTCGTGGCTCTGTCGGACAATCTTGGTATTGAAAGGGCTAAACTCACAGAAGACACGACCATAGTAGGACTGATAACAGACAACCATGAAACAATGTACAGGGAGGAGGTTAAACATTCGACTGTGTCTTGTTTCCATAACAACCTGGACTCAACAATACAAAAACCAAGGAGATCACAATAGACCTCAGATACCCAAGAGGAAATGAGCACTCTGCCCTCTGCATAAGAGGAGAGGAGGAGGAGAGAACTTCAGATTCCTACATCACGTCACACTACCTATAGTCTGTAAACATATTTTACCAGGAGAAGAAGGCCCAGCAGAGACACTATTTCCCTAGGATGTTAAAACAGTCCTACCTCCCACAGCAGCTGCTGCTACTTTCTACTGGGCCACCATCAGGAGCCTCTGCAGCTACTGCTGCACAGTGTGGTGAGGCTGCTGCACTGGGGAAGACCAAGGGAAGCTGTTGTGAACACTGTGACCTCGCTACCACCTCTGAAGGACTACAAGAAGGCCAGCTGTATCATAAAAAAGACCCTCCCACCCTGGACACTGTCTGTTTGTCTCCCTCCCCTCTGGAAGACGGTACAGGTCAATAAAAACTAAAACAAACAGACTTAAAAACTGCTTCTGTCCAAGAATTGTTTGATATTTTAAGAGCTGTTTACCACCACTGGTGTAAAGGGATTTCAAACTAATAAACGCCCAACTGGTGAACTTAGCTTAGCTTGTATTCATCAGTACGCAGCTCTTACCATGCATTACTGTTATTTTTATTGGTCACCAATTAGGGGTGGGCGATATGGTCCTAAAGTAATGTCACGATATTCCAGGGTGTTTTTGTCATACATATATATGACAAAATCACGTGATGACACCGACTCCTGTGTGCACACGGCAAGAGAGGAGAGGGAGAGACGCTGTGCTGCTGCCAGAGGAGCCGCTGAATGAGTTCCCTCTTAGCTGTAAGTCACTAAAAGAGTCTGAGAAGTCCGGGGCTGTTCATAAAACATTCAGGACGCCACAGTTTATTCCACACTACTGAAGCTGCTCCTCTTTTTGGAACCACCGTGGAGTCAGTAATAATTTCGCTTCCCGTCATGCTCGTTGCCGTGGGTAACAGTATGACGTCATTATGTAAACAGGCCGAAATATCATGGTAGAATTTTTCATAACATATATTGTGAACGAAATGATATGGTACACCCCTACTGCCAATTGAGGAGCTTCATATTTATCTCTCATTTATTAGTTGAGCATTTGGATGATGTCATTATCTCCAGGCAGCCATTTTGGGAGTCAAAAGCCCTTTGGAAAAAAATAGCTATAGACAACTGTTTACATTTCAAGAAATGCTAGTCTCCAACATAATTAACTGTATTTGATTGGGTCCAATTGGATTTATTTTCTTTCCAACACCTTAGCCTGTCAGTGTTACATTAAAATGTACCAACAAAGTCATTTCTCTCAGTCCACAGCTAGATTATTACTTATCCAGTAGCTGATGGAGTAAAAGATTTACTTCATTTTTGTGGATGGTTTGGTGGATTTGGAGCTAAATGTTGTGCCTGGGGCACGTCGTGTATTAATGATACTCGTTACCTGGAGAGGTTGGAAAAAGATATACATTTCTTCCCTGTTCCAAAACCAAAATCAAACCCTGAAAAGTGTAGGGTTAGCTAGCTAGCTACTGAAGATATAGCCTACTGAATGTATACACATGCTGCTTTTGCTTTTTAATGATTTTAACAGTGAAACAAAGACCGACCCTGTTGTACAGGAACCAGTGAAGGGAAGCAGCGAAACTTTGCTCATATTCAACCAGCTGTGTGTCATCACAGTGTGTGCAGATGAACGTTGTTTGACTTCACCCGGAGATCTCTGCCCGTCTGGTGGCAAAGCCAAACACGGTTCATCTGCACACACTGTGATGCCACACAGCTGGTTCAATATCAGCAAAGTTTCCCTTTATATTCATTGTCTTGTGTGGCGATCAGCAGTGATGTGGTGGTTCACTTTTACACTGTGATCTGTAGCCTATAGTTCGGCTTTAGCTTCTAACTATCTTTGTCTTTTTAACCTGTTGTTGCTGCTGAGTCAGTTTGACATCCTGGATATATCCTTCAAACACAGACTGTAGACCCTTCTGTCTGCCTCTCTCTGGAATCACTGGTTCATTTCTCCAAAAATATGATAATATTTCTTCAGGGAGTGCAGTTAGTTACAGTGTGGGCTGCATGCTTACTGCGACAGCTTGATGCACCATCACAAAGGGGCGTGGCTTAGCAAAGGGTTAATTGGACCCATTTATACAAGCCACTTTCAATGTATTAGATAATATAAGATATCCTGATAATATTTTTTCATTTTCCTGTGTTGATTCAGATACCTGAACTTGCGTATCGACTGATATTGAGTACCGAGAGTTCAACGACTGAAGTGTCGGTTGTTCAGAACAATGAATCATTACATAATGAGTTAACTTTGTCACTTTTGGGCTGTCTTTGGGGAATTTTTTTACATCGTTGGAATGCAGTTTCTAATGTTTGCTGCTGAAGTTTGTCAATTTTTTTCATCTTCGCTTTGGTGAACTTGTCGTGCTCCTTCATGTGATGCATCTTTAAATACTTTGTAACATTGGCAACACTAGTGCCATTCTTCAGAGCCATAGCCTTGCATGTTGTGCACATTTCCTTTTCACTGGTGGGATGATCCTGTGTAAACTGTTGCCAAATTGATGACATTTTGTTGATGGCTAACGTTACATCATTTACCAGGAATGAATTCTTCTTTGCCGTTCTAAAACAACAGTTATCCAGTGTTAGCACAGCACAACTCTATGTAGAGGCTAGTTATTTTTTAAATTCCGTTGTATTGGATTGGTGCATAGACTTAAGAGTATCAGTATCAGAGGCATTCTGGATACTGGTATCAGTATTGGAGCAACTGTAGTTGTAGCCATGAGGTGGATGTTTAGAGTACAACCTAACTTCAGTCAGAGTGGGAATGTGTTTCTTTTAGTGCCCATTTTTCATTGTCATTTCATTAAAGCACCCATTGCTAACTGGCCTCACCACAGCCAGCTATTTTGTCTCATAACTACAAACAAGCAATCTTAATCAGTGTCCAGGTTGTTCATGAAATATTTATTTTGTGCCTTTTTTGTTGTACTTCTGGGAATCAGAAAATGTTTCAGCCATTTATCTGTTGACCCTGAAAACTAACCACTAGCCACTGATGTTACAGCTTTATTATAACAGCAGGGACGCCTATTAACTGTCAAATACAGTGTACCCTTTATATTTAATTTGTATGTATACAGAGAGAACGAATGAAAGTATGAGTCTATGCCAGACCTGAATATTTGCATATTGCCTCTGGTGTTTATCTAACTCCGCTCAGTGAATCAGTTTGATTGTCGCCAACATTTTAGATAATTTCTGCTGTCAATCAAAAAAAAAGCTTCTCTGTTATTTTCCAAGCTCTCTGGCTCTGTGTGGTAACATTTATCATGACCCACCTATACTACAGTGAAAATGACAGGTTCAGTTACGTGTCACCACCAAGCTTGAAAGGGATTAAGATGTCACCCCACAACTGCACCATCCTGTTCTGTCACTGCTTCTGTTTTTATGATGATAAATCTCCAGGTTCAAAAGGTGTAATGTAAAGGTCTTGATGTAGAACAGCATACCGTAGTGTACTGTGCTCTCTTCTGCCACATATGTTTGTAGACATTTTTATCAAAGGGTTTTAACATAGATATTATCATCTCATATTATCATGAAATGGCACTGGAGCCACACAACCAGGAGCCCATTCAGGATTCTACAAATTCAATGACACATTACAATCAATAATACATTTATCTTGTTATTTCATATAAATTATTTAATGCAAGTTTTGAACAAAATAATTGGTAAAGCTAGGACAGAAGTCTGATTTAATATTACTAAACTGTAGGTGAAGACGATGTGTATGGATACAGTTGATGTGTAGTCATAGTTAGAGAGCATGGTGAGGGCGTGGTCGGCAAGGGGAAGATTAGTCCTTTAAGCAAGGTTTTTAAACTTACACAAGAGACACTATTAGAGGGGGTCTAGTGCCTTGCTCAAGAACAGGAGCATAAACTGGCACATCTTCAGCTACCAGTCCACACTCCACATTTGGTCCGTACGAGGATTTGAACCGGCAATTTGCAACCTCCAGAACCAGTGACCCTCTGGTTCCCAAGCCAAGTCTCCACATGCTGAGCCACTGCTGCTATTTATTAATTCATTCATTTTCTGTAACCGCTTATTCTGTTAGGGGTCGCAGGTGGGCTGGAGACTATCCCAGCTGACATTGAGTGACAGGGGTACACCCTGGACAGGTTGCCAGACTATCACAGGGCTGACACATAGAGACAGAAAATCTTTCACACTCACATTCACACCTACGGACAATTTATAGTCATCAGTTAACCTGCATGTCTTTGGACTGTGGGAGGAAGCCGGAGAAAACTGCACAGAAGGGCCCCGTTTCGAACCACTCACCCAGGGTTTGAATCAGGAACCCTTTTGCTGTGAGGTGACAATGCTACCATGCAACCTTGCCGTCCTATTGCTGCCCCTGCTATGATGTAATATACTAGCATGTGTTAGCAAAATCCTGCACATTTCGAGACAGTAAAGCAGTGCTAAAGCAGTACTTCACACCATTAGCCTGTTTCGACGATGTGCTGTGCTATAATGTTGTCACACAGGGATTTGCAACCTCAAGAACTACAGGTTCTACAGACTCATAATTTTTCAGTTTGGATAAGGCATTAGATCCTTTTTGTTTAATCAGAGGCAGTGTATTTTCACATCTAACTGGGTGAATTCAGGGTTTATTTTACCCAAACAGGAGTTGGTGATTGTTGGAACAGTGGAAAGACGAACCAAGATGGTTTGTGAGATGTTTATTTTGTTTCTGTCAACTTTAAATGAAGTGTGTTTCACGGTTATAAAATTACAGCTTATTTAAATTGAGTCTGGTGGGTTTGACAACAGCGATTTCAAAGGAAGTTTCTGGTTGAACAAAAAGCATTGTGCTCCTTTATAAAGAAAGGTCTGTCTCTGTAGGGATCCTTTTGATAATCTTATCAGAGACTTATAACAATCTGAGCCTGTCAGTGGGAAAAACAAACACTTTTAGTGGATGTAAATTGACAGTGCCAACATTCCCGTGAGTGTTTACTTTGCAACATGGAAGCTGCTCTTGCTCAGCACCAGACCGATTTTAAATATGTCGCTCCCAGTACTCATTTAGACACAAAAACATGAGAAAATAGGGTCCAGGTTGAAAAATATAGCCTTATTTCTGGATTTTAAAGTTTTGAGGGTGTTCCCATAAATACCAACTGTGTCTTTACAGTCCAAATGTCTCATAATGTGAGGGTACAATTATTGTAGTATTGCACTGGGTATTCTAAAATAACAATGTAGTTTAGTAAAGTATGCTGCAGGATAATGCAGCACATAGAAAAGTGTGAGAAAATGTAGCATAGTACATGGTAAATGTAGAGATTAATAGAGTTATAAAATAGTTTGATGTACAATACACATGTAATAATAAGGTGTATCATAGTGCAGTTTGGAATAGTTTTTGACAGCATCCTTATAATGGGAAGTTTTATGCACTAACTCTAATGACTTACCAGCTTTTGGGCATTTTATGTGCTGTACCTACCTGAGGATACAGATCCTCTGTATCAGTGCAGTACCCACAGTATGATGCATGATTGTCCTGTGCTCCCCAGGTAAACCCACCTTACTATGTCAAACTGGTGGAGCTGGTACCTCACCCAGAGACGGCAGCAACCGTTATGGACACCACCCACTCCCTAATGACCAAGGTAAGGATCCCAGATTACACAATCCTGGGTATGTCGTGACCTGCAGGATGGAACAAATGAGTCAATATCAGAGACGGATGGAGGCATCAGGTTTATGACAAAGCCAAATCATGTGTGTGATTAAAAGAATCCTGAATTAAAGCAGGTTAGGACTGGAGTAATAATATATGTTTAGTGTTAAGAATCCTGGCATGTTTATCCATTTGTTTGTTAGGTTTTTTCTAAATTTGATTACCTGACATCACATTCTGTGAATCCAGTCACAGATGAATCAAATCTGAGATGTTATTGTGTCACTAGTCCCTGGATGACCACACAGTGATTGTTCCAAGTAAGTCTCCTTCCTTGCAAGCCTGTGCAAGATGAATTTCATGATATGCTGAATGAAATTGGAAACCAGTAGCTTCCTGTTTGGAATGAAATCATATTAAATCTCTTGGTGTACTGAGGTTCTCAGTCATGTAAATAAACTTTTAATTCATCGTTTTAAACACAGAAACACACACGAATCACAAGAATTGTTTATTATTTCAGAGATGCAGTAATATCATCACATGACTGATTTCTTTTGATTCAGGTCAGCCAGGTGCCCGTCTGTCTAAAGAGAGAGATTGATGGCTTCGCCATCAACAGAGTGCAAGCCGCCATCATTGCAGAGTCTTGGAGGCTGGTCCAGGTCAGTGTCTTATTTCTGTCCTTAGCTCAACCAATTAATTTAGAGCAGTTATTTTCATAGACTGTATAAATGAAGTGGACGCAGCCTCAGGGTTGGAGCCACTGCATAAGTACCTTAAACCTGTGTTCTCTCTAATGGCCGGCAGGGGGCGACTACACTGGTTACAAACTCAACTCTTTGAAATGTGAGTCAACAAACCAATAGGTGATGTCACAAAGGCTATACGTCCACTTCCGTTAAACAGTCTCTGATTGTGTTACTGCTTCTCTGCTGACACCAGTTTGCAGTTTTAAACACACCTAAAATGTATTATCCTGTGACACATGTATGGTTTGCAACCAGGACTTTCTTTGTTTTTCCTTTTGGGCGTTGTATTTATCCTTTCCTATTGTGACATTAGATATTAGATTGGTAACTTTCATGAAATTAAGTTATTGTCGTATTTGCTGAAACTGTCAGTGCATCTACATGAGAGAGAGAGTCTGTGAAAAAAAAATCACAGCAGCTTATGCAGCTGTCAATCGTGTCAGTCACGTCTCCTGATCTTTAAACTGTCAAACTACGCAGCGCTGATCAAATATGAATCAAGACCCTGTTACTGCATTGCCTGTTTCTCATCTCAGATGTTTTAGAAACATGTTTAGTGTACTGTTTAGCTGCAAAATGAGAGTTTGTGACCCGGCCACCATGGAAAGGAAGCATTACCCACATGCTGGAGCAACTTTCTCATTAAACAGATAAACACTACACTAAAATGTGTGTCTGAAAACATTTGAGCTAAAAAAAAATTGGCGATGCAGTAAAAGAATTTTGATTCATATTTGATTAGCGCTGATTAGCTCTATGCAGAGTCTACGCCATAGCCTACACACGTGGCCTACGCCGCTGTGAGCATTTATACTTGTGCAGTGGTGTGTCTGTGTGAATCTGCAGTCACACCTCCAAAACACTAGTCTACGGCAGGGTTTCTGTGAAGTGCTGTAAAGTTAAGTTGATTAAAATAAAAAACCAAACACACATTAAGCACACATTAAACACACATTAAACATGGCTTAACAGCGACAATTTCAAACACAAATACACAAATCAGCTTCACTATAACTCGCAGCATTCACAGACAAACACTTGTCTTTATCTGGACACATTTTCCCCACAAATACAGCATGCTAATGTTATTAGCACAAGCTTATGGTATATTATATTGTATTAACAAACAAAACAAATTAATTAACAAAGGTAATGTTAAAACATTTCATTCCGTTACAGCTCACAAGATTCACCGACATTTCCTCTGCTCATATGAAGCCAGGATAAATCACACATGACCTAAAATGCTATTTTTGTGGAGGCTTTATTGTCTTCGCAATTTATTTTTTCTTATCTGTGAAACTGAAGTAAATAAAAGCTTTGTTTCCACTGAGGGAAATGGTTTCAGCTTACAGAAATAGACAGGAGGTCTGCGTCACTGTGACGTGTAGTTACATTTCTGAGGAGGTGCACGTCAGGCTATGGCGTAGGGTCTGGCATTGATTCAAGGCAGAAGCATAAATTCCGCTTAAGGCTGCGGAATAACATTATCTTCTCTCTTCTGCTTGGAAGTGGTTGATTTACAGCTCACAGCAACTTAAGATGAAACAATCTCTGGTTTTTGTTTGATATCTAGTGTTAACAAAAAAAAGTTTCGACCCATTATTAGCACCGTTAGCTTGTTTACTATATTACATGAAAGAATGCCACTGTCACACTAAACGTCTCACTGAGCCCCGACCAAACTTCAAATCTTTATATGGAAAATAAAAATAAAACAAATAATATTTGTATTAAATTCCCAAATCTGATTCAACTGCCAAAATTCTAAATCGGGTACAACCCTTGGAGCCAACGTGACATATTTAGCAAATATGACAAAAACATACTTACTTTGATGAAGGTTATTAGCTAGAGCAACAAAGGGTTACAGTTTGAATTATTCTATTAAAAAGCAATTTTGCTCTCAGTTTGGCCTTTTTCCACCTAATGCATATAGAAATATGTTGTTTTAGGGTTGAGATTAATAATAAATAAGGTCCTCATAACATGAGACACACCAGACTGTATCTGTGTTTGTTTTTATCTGTGGATAAGAGCTCCTCAGTCTCAGTGAGGCTTTGTGTGACTGCTGATGGGTTTGTAATAGAGGCAGAGAAGAGGAAGCCCCTTGTCAGCTCAGCACTGCAATAATCTCCCTCCAAAAAAGGAACACAATGAGAGTAAATGAGCTTTAGCCTCTGATGACAGGCACCATTACACGATCACTCATGGCAGAAATGGTCAGAATGATAATGAGGACGATGAGTCTGATGATTGTTACCTGAACTGAACACACATGAAAACATTTCACTGTGAGTCAGGCTTCAAACAGGATTACCTCAAATTACCCTGTTTATTAAATAACATGACAGCAGATATTTCTGTAGAAGATTCATAAACTTTTGTACCAAATATTCAGTGATACTTTCTCTTTCGTTGCCTTTGTTTCAAGGCTTTTGCTCTTGTCTTTTGTTGCAGTATTTGTTGACTTGTATCATTATTATCTTCTGTTCGTCAGTAACTCTAGTAGCTCCCACTGTTTTGGTCGGTCTCCTTTTTAAAAGGCTTTTTTTTTTTAAATTTTTTAAACATCTCTTTATTGCTTTTATGGACAACAAATAACCATCTCAGTATACAGTGATACAAGAACAATAGTAATGGTTATGGTATTAAATAAAGTAGTATTGTAATAATAATAATAATAATAATAATAATAATAATAATAATAATAATAACAATAATAATAAGGACGATAGTGCTGAAAAAAAAAATAAAAATACAGCCGTTTAGAGTCAATTCAGTTCGTCATTACAAGCATCAGTCCGGATCTCATTCTGTTCCAAGTAAGTGTAGAAAATGTTCCATATTTTCCAGAACATGTCCAGTTTGTTTTTGGTGAAATAATAATAATAATAATTATGCTCTTTTCAAGAGCAAAGTTAAAAGTCATTCCTTTCAGCCACTGAGAGATTCCACAAACAGATTGTTCCTTCCAAACACGAGCAATACATCTTTTAGCTTCAAGCTGACCAAAATTCAACAAGGCCCTCACATTGTTTGAGATGACAAAATCATCTGGATAAATATTCAAAATACATAGTTTAGGATCAAAGGGTACCTTTTTACCAATAATATGACCAGTTAGGTCCAGGACCTTCCTCGAAAAAAACAGTTATCTGAGGGCATTCCCACATACTTTTAAAAGGCTTTTAAATCTCAGTACAATTCTGTTAATAATCAAGATTAAAGTAACAAAATCAAGCTACTGATACGAGCATAGAATATTTGAAAAATACTTTGCCATCCGCAGGAAATTTAGCAACATTATAGAATCAGTTTGAACACTTATATGAATACTGTGACAAGATTTAAAGACGCTGAAATTTATTTGAGTGATGGGGTCCTACATGAACACTATTTTCTGCCAGTCATTTTAGATAACCACACTCTTAGTTATGCATAACTTTAAGCCTTAATAACATTGAAATTAGTGTGAGTTATATAAAAATGAATCTCCCGTACAGTTGTCATGAATGTTGAAATTAGCCATAGAGACCAAAACAGTTCTTTGTACCAGGCTGTAAACATGTTTATTTCTGCTGTAAAGTTGGGCATTTTAACATGGGGGTCTATGAAGATTGACTCGCTCTTGGAGCCAGCCTCAAGTGGCCATTAGAGGAACTGCAGTTGCATTTCCTGCTAGAATAGGGCCACTATGGAGATAGATTTGTTTCATAATTATGTGTGTGAACAAATCGACAATCTGTGTGTAAATGTGTAATCTGTAAATATAAAACACCTTCCACAAATACAAAAAAAGATTTGTAAACTCACAAAAATATTTTGCAAGTATAAAACAGATCTGCAAATACACAAACACATTCCACAAATTTCCAAAAAAAATATCTGTGAGTACATTAAATTAATTTGCAAATAAATGAAAAGTATTTGTGAATATCTTCCTAACATTTACAACTTTTGAACAGGCATTTGTGAAGTCAGTTTTTATTTGTGAATCAAAAAAACATTTGTGGATCTCAGTTCTGCACGTGTGGATTTGCTTTTTACACACAGAGTTTTGAAACAAACTTTCCGCCGGTCAGAACGAAAATGCACTTGTATCACTCGGCCATTTTCAGATAGCACGTGATCACCCAGCTGATGATGTCATCTCCGCATGTCAAAGTAAGAGCACGCAGTGAATCGCACCGTGTTTAGTTAGGTTACATCGTTTCAGTGAGGTTACATTAACTGTTGTAAGATATGTTTGTTTTTATGAAACAAATCAGACCACGAAAAGTATCGAGAGAATGCCAAGAGTGTGCAAAGCAGTAATCAGAGCAAAGGGTGGCTATTTTGAAGAAACTAGAATATAAAACATGTTTTCAGTTATTTCACCTTTTTTTTGTTAAGTACATAACTCCACGTGTTCATTCATAGTTTTGATGCCTTCAGTGAGAATCTACAATGTAAATAGTCATGAAAATAAAGAAAACGCATTGAATGAGAAGGTGTGTCCAAACTTTTGGCCTGTACTGTACTTGTTTAAGTATAGCAAGTATAATGAATATAATGTAGGAATCGGTAAGAGGAATCGGTAAGGAATCGGACCGTTAAGGAGTCGGTAAGGAATCGGAATCGTTAAAATCCTAACGAGTTCCAACCCTATATCTGACTCTGTAATAAATCTCTTCAGACGCTGTGCTGCCTATTTCTGCCAAACAAAAACTCCTTAGCCGACTGTTGACTAGATTACAAGATAATTAAAGCTGTAATGAATTAGCTCTGCCCTCTATGGGGATAAGTTACTACTGTATGTTAGAATAAATCCCATCTCTTATTTCAGAGCCAACACACATACACACACAGGACACAATAACCCTAAAGAGGGACTTAGATCAGTGTCTCTCCACCTCTTTATTCTGTCTCTT